TACTGGTAGCTTAATCACTTCTGTCCCAATTCCTTTAACTGAAATTTTCTCATTTGGAATGATGTCTTCCTGAGGAATAATATCTGTATGGCATATAGTTATCATTATCTAAGAACAAGAGTCTCTCAAAGCTAGATATTTGATGCTGTTAATATAAATATTTTCTTCAGCTGATTTCATCAGTTCCCTGTTACTTTTAATGTAATAGCTGTGAACAATATCTGCTATAGGAGGTGATTGCTCCGGAGTCAGCATTCTGTCAGTTAAACTGCCATTCTGATTTATCTCAGACCTTTCATCCTGCTTTTGTATACAGTACATCTTTTAGGTACAATCACCACTGTTTTCTGTTGTCCCATTTCCTTGTTTTTAATAAATGCACAGTTTGAAGTGAAATGATCTGGTTTCCCACAACCAAAACAAGTTTTTAAATTTCTTTGTTCATTGTAAGGGTTTCTGTCTCCCTTTTCTTCAAAGGGTCTCTCTCTAAAATGGCTTCCATTTGTATATTTGTTGGTTTTGGGGAAATCTCTAGGTTCTCTTTTCCTCTCTTCAAGGTTTCTGTCCAATTTTACTTCAGAATACTTTGAATTTCTAATCTCTGATATTAAATCTGCAGATTCACTAGCCTGTAGTACAGTAGCTGAATAAAATTGTTCCAATCCTATGTGGTGCTGCATATCCTCCAAAGTTGTCACTTGAGATTGCTCCATCCATTTCTGTAAATATTTAACTAGATTTGCCCCAAATTGTGAATATGACTCATCAGGCTTCTTACTTAACTGTCTAAATTTAAGTCTTGAGTTTTTTACTGGTTATTCCGAATCTTGAGAAAACTAATTTCTTAAAGATCTCATAATTTCTAGTTTGGTCTTCTGACATACTAGCATAAATTTCAGACATTTCAGCACTAATTAAAGACCTCAATATCAGCATACGTTCCTGTTCTGTCACACTATAGTCCCAGCAGGCTCTCTCAAACGAAATTAGAAAAGATTCAGGGCAATGTCCTTTTTTAAATTGAGGGAATTTCTTAAGGTCTACTTTTGAGATCCCTTCATTTGTATTATTACTGTTATTACTGTTTAGAGATGCCATGTCCAGTTTTTTCATCTCTAATTGATTTTGCATTTCTTTTTGCCTAATTTCCAGTTCCAGCTGTCTCTTTTCTTGTTCCATGGCCATGGCAATCTCCCTTTCTCTGGCCTCTGCCTTTTCTCTCATTTCCAGCTGCAATCTTCTTAACTGAAATTCCTGTTCTTTTTCCAATTTCCATTTTAGAAACTCCAAGGAGTTGTTTTCTCTCCCTGAGGCACTTGGCCTCTCATATTCCTGGCCCTCTTGATCTGAAATTTCCTCTTCCTGAGGTAAAGTCTGACTCTCAGCGAGTTCCATAACTGCCTTCTTCCCTCTCTTGGAAGTCATACCTAACAATTTATTTGTATTAATAAATTGGTAGGCTGTTTTCTCACCAATTCAAATACACAAGCCTCTGTTTAAAATGACCTCTTTTTTCCTGTGTTAGAGATTTAAACTACGCAGCTTTATTTTGGCAGTTTAAGATCGCTATGTTGTATCTTTGGGCTTCAGCTTCAGCCATTCCTTGTGTCTGTTACTTTGTATCTCTTGGTCTACAGCCACCCAGATATTTCAAGCAATATTTTTCTATTCCAATATGCCTTTTCCAAATCCACCTCAGTTATTTATCTGGACTTAGGCATCCACTTTATTTCCCTTTTACTGTATGCTCCCTCTCCTCAGAGCTTTGGGATCTAAAGCTAGCCCTCTTGGTCCTCACACTCTCAGCTTGAGGTAAACTTTTAACCACAGTATAGAAATCTCAGAGTCCTTTTCCTGCCTTTGTCTTTCCACACTTTCAGGAGTCCCTATCAAGCTATTCACCTTAAGCTTTAGGGTTTCCTACTCCTTTACTTGAACTATTGACAACCAGGTCTCTTAGACTCAGAGGCTTTCTTTAGGCTTTCTGGTATTCCTCCCTTTGAATCCCGGACTCAGAAACTTCTCTTTATTTTTGGCTTATTGGATTTATTTTTCATTCATGGCCAGCCTAATAAATCTCATTTTATTTTGGCTCACTGGATTTCTTTCGAATCCCAACCACTGCTCACCACTTTATGTCACGAACCCAGTTCCCCTGTTTGTTTCTCCACAAAACCCACGTTCACTTTTGGGACTGACATTTGTTTTCAACCCTTTCCACTGCCACCAGAGGAGTCCCTCCTCACTACATCAAATATGACTCTAAAATCAGTGTAATTCTATTAAACAATGTTTATTAAAATGTTCACAAGTAAATCATGTAAAGTAAATCAGGGATGGTCTTATTTTATTCATGAAATCAACTGTGCTTTGATAACATTTATTTTTGTTTAGTTATAATCATTTCAATCAATATATTTATTCATTTCTTATACGAGTTGGGTACTCATTTTACCAACCTCGGAAGGATAGAAGGCTGAGTCAACCTTGAGCCGGCTACCTGGGATTTGAACCCCAGGTCGTGAGCACAGTTTTAGCTGCAGTACAGTGGTTTAACCACTGCGCCACAAGGCGTTTCTATGGGCTTTTTAATATCGCTTAGTGATGAAATCACTTAGCAGTGATTTTTGCTGCACGGATTAACATCGCTAAGCGAGGCACCACTGTATATTTGAACCACAAACCGAAGCATCCACACCAGAATCAAAGAAAATGAGAGACACTGCAGACTAAAACAACAGTAGCTGAAAATGCCCCAAAACAAGCTGGACATGAAATTCTATTTTAAAATACTGAAGTACTGGACAACACCAGCAATCTGTATGTTAGACTACACAGGGAAGCCACTGAAATTCATAAACATAAACAGAACTTTAACAAAAAGGAAGAAGGCCTAAAACTAAACACAGCCTGGCTCACTATTCTGAAAAATACAGCCTGCAAAAGGTCAACAAACTCTACCCAGCCACAAGGACCAGGGATCATTGCACAAAAAAGACCAGCTAATGACACCCATCAATCACAGTAACAGATAATCTCTTCCCCCCATCACAACAAAAACATGCTGATCATCCTATCTCCTGATAGGGAGATCAGCATGTCCTGAAAAAGGACAAAAGCTGTTCCCACAGCTATAAATATTCAACTATCCAACAAACAGCAAGAGAGTATGGACAGAGTTCCTACTCTAGTCCTCTGAAGATGCCGGCCACAGAGACTGGTGAAATGTCAGGAAGAAGAACCTTCAGAACACGGCCAAAGAACCAGAAAAACCCACAACAGCCATGTGCTGCTTTTGTTTTATGTTACCACTTTTGCCTCACTGTGTGAATGTGAAAACCTTAAAACTTTGCATGGGAAACGTAAAGGTTTAAGAACGGGTAAGTACAAATGGGAGAGAAGAGAAGAGTGAAGTTGATGAGAAAAGGGCAGAGAAGATAGGCAAAAGGGGAGGGCAATCTGCTGGGAGTGAGACCTTTAGGGAGCAGTTCTTGATGTTTGTGAAGAGGTGGTACCAGGAAGATCCAACACATCCCAATACTGTACATCCAGCAAGAAATACACTCTCCATGTTTGGATGCCTGTACTAGGGTGATCAGTTCAACAACAACAAAAAACAACAACCACAATGACCCAGACCAACCCCAGAATAACTAGGGACACCACCACAGCATGGAAATAGAAGGGTATGTGAAACAGCTCCCACAGTTTAACAGTAATTCCCTTAGATGTGGTAAATGTACTTCATTATTGAGTGGTGCCACCACTGTAGAGCTTAAATATTTATTATAGTTCAATTCCACTTTGTAGCTTCTTTAGTATAAAAATGCCTCGAAACCTGATGGTTTCAGAAAGAACATCTGCCATATGCTGCACAAAATATGTACTATTGGATAAGGATGCAGAACATTTTAGTGTGCTGACTTTTTCCAACCTGTCACCAATGATAAATATTTTGAGGAAGTTTTCAAGGTTAGGACATCCCCTTTGATGATTCAGAAGTCAAGTGTGCAGTGCTTACACCATGCTTATATAAAGGCTTTTGACAGGGCATCCCCAACCCATCTCAATTAGCACAGAGTCATTCAGTGGGTGGGTGTATCAGAGGTGTAAATATGTTGTGTCTGTAACCTATTAATAATTTCTGGCCACAATAGTAGAGCAATGGCATTTTAATTTGCTAGGTATAAATGGGATCTGCAAGAAAATGTTGCTGTGAGGATTAGTTCTGTTCACTGTTCTAGCAAGCCATCCATTGCCCTCCAGGTTACATCTTTGCAAACCTCAAAGTGAAGTGATACCTAACTCTTAGCTGTGAGTAGTAGTGCTTTTATAGTTACGTAAGCACTGGCAATACCATTAGAACAAATCAATTAGCAAACTCCTCTGTTTCAAACTAATTTATATAGAGCATGCTTGGAGGTGGACAGCAGGCCATGAAACTCCAGGTCAGTCTCAGAGATGGGCGAATAACTTTCAACTCATATGAACTCCTCCCGTTTCCCTGAAAATAAGACTAACCTGAAAATAAGCCCTAGTATGATTTTTGAGGATGCTCGTAATATAAACCCTACCCCCAAAATAAGCCTCAGTTAAGTAAAACACTGCCCTCCACCCTTGTGCAGCAACCAGAAGAAGATGGCATGACTGTAAAATAAACCACCCTCTGAAAAAAAGCCCTAATCTGCATTTTTGGAGCAAACATTAATATAAAACACGGTACCATATAAGCCACCATACCTAAGAAAGGCCCCCAAATAACCTATTCCTGCTCTTAAGGAATCAGGCAAGCGTTAAAGGAAACGAAAATACATGAAACTGCCGGGGGCGGGGGCTGCGATGTGCATGAAAGAGCCTTTTCAATCCAGCCACTAAACGGAACCTTTCTCTCCCGCCTCTTGTTTCCTCGCGGGGACATTTTAAAGAGTCCACGGCGTCGCGGCTGATCCCACCGTTGTCATAGCGACTGGCCGGAAAAAGGTTGTCCCATGGGAAAAGTGTCCCCCACCCCTTCCGAACTGCTGGTGGCGGGTTTAGAGAAGGCTGGTTGGTGCCGCAGGCCGGGCAGCGAGGTGGAAAGCGGAGTCGCGGTGGAAGAAAGGAAGCCTCCCGACTTCAGGCCGGGAATCCTCTCCCGAGGCCGCGACTGATTCGGAAGGGGCGTCTTCCCGCTCGACGGTTCTCAAGGGAAAGACGTCCTTCCGTCGGCTCTGCTGGGCGCCTGCCCTCGGCGGGTAATGAGGCTTTTCTGTCCCGCGAGGGCCTGTATGGGGGAGCCGAGTCCGTGTCGGTTTTAGCGGTGCGGCCTGGGGGGGAAGGAATTCCCCTGCTCGGGTCCGGGAGGGTAGAGGATGCTGGGCCGGTTGCTGTAGCTCCCCGCCTTCTAACCCTTTCCTCCCACGAAAGCTAAAACCCGAGAGGGAGCCATTTTCAGGCCACGGGAACAAAGCAGAACCTGATCCCCCCTCCCTCCTTCCCGGGTGACCCCGACCTCTGTGAGGAGAAGATGGACCCTTCCGTGGAAGGAAACTAGCTTCCCGGGGGATTGACGTCGGCCCGGATGGAGATCGTGCTTGCCTGTCGGTCTCCCGTGTTGTTCTCAGCCTCACAAACCCATTGTCTTCATGATAAGATGGGATGGAGAAAACTCGGCACTTTGCCCTCCCCTGAGGACGCTTTAGGCGAAAGGACAACTACAGTATATACTGGTAGCCAAGGGAGAGTTACTGGTTCTGCCGCCCTCCACCCGCAGGAGAGGCAAAGGTTTTTTTTTTCAGAGACTCTTTTCTACCCCACCCCCGCACCATAAATTTAATCTTTTTGCTTAGAGCAGAGCAGGGAATTGCCTGTTACTTGGGAGGCTTTCCTCTTTAATCAGACCAAATTATATTATTTAAAAATATGTCAGATACAACTGAAATACTGTATTGGTAGTGTGTGACTAATAGGAGAATTCATAAGGCAGGGAGCTGAATGAAACACAGAAGTCAAAAGCATCTTAGCTTCCTCCAGTAACAGCTAAATTGTGCCCATGGGCTTGTAGTCTTCTACGTATATGAACTCCCAGAGAGCATTTCTTTCACCTCCTAATTACAAGTGCCTTCCATCTCACTGCTGAATATGGAAAGACGTGTCCAAAAGCATCCTTTTCTTTGGAAAGTTCATCTTCTGTATTTTTCCCCTAGTACATTGTACATATATATTGCTTTGTAATGGTGTGGCTTGACTTTGTGTAGAAAACCTTTCAGACTAATTTTTGTCAAGAGGCTTTTTTAAAAAAAAACCTCTACCTTTTTTAAAGAAGTGAAACACAAGGTTTGCAAGCCAGTGGCAGTTAATTAGTCTTGATTTTAGGGCAGATTTGGGGGCTTGACTTTCTCATCTTTCACTACATTTTTGGCCTGTCTGTTGTAGCAAGTTTTGTCTTGAGTTGGGAGTTCTCCCAAAATGTACACTATTTACATTCCAAAACTCATGGCTGGGTTTTTAACATAGCATATTTAGATCTCTTTTTTAAAATCTCATACTGATAAGGCCTTGCTCCCTTCACAATACCAAGATCAGATACAGTATAGAGGTCTAGCTAAAAGTGACTAGTTAAACATCACTTTGATTCAATTCATTTGTTTACTATAAAATATCTTGAAGGAAAGGCTCAAAAGGGCCCCCTTTGAAAGGCAAAGATACAAACGTAGCACAGCAAAAACATAGTTTTCTATGAGTTCAACAATCCACTTTTGCCAAATCTTTAGTATTGAGAAATCCCTTTTGGACTACCTCTATTGTATTTGCCCATTAACTAGCTTTCCCAATAGCTACAAGTAAGAAGTATTTGTGACGCTATTCTCCTCAGAGTACTTCAGATCCTTAACAAATGAAATGCGAGCAGTGACATTTGTTGTGAAATAGAACAGTGTCAGTTGCACTGTTTTAAAGTAAAAAAGTAACCACTGGTATGGTTTAGAGCTCTTTGAAGCAGTAGGTCAGTAGGTGATACAATAAATCCATATGTTGCGAGGGTAAAAATTGTGTGTGCACCTTTGTCTCTGTGTATGGACACTGCCTTGAATTACTTGGTGGAAAGGAGAAATATTTCTTCAATAAATTGATCAGTGCCAGAACTTTTCAATGATAAACTTGAGAAGGTTTTGTAGCTGTTGGCTTATGTTGTGCTTTTAGGTTACGAAGATGTCGAGCCAAAATAAATGTCCAGACTGTGGCTCTTTGGAAATCGTAGAGGACTCGCATTATTCTCAGAACCAGCTAGTATGTGCAGACTGTGGCTTCATTCTGACTGAAGGACTTCTCACGACGACGTTTGCGGATGAAGAGCATTTGCAAGGTGAGAGATGTAATAGCTATGTAGCTTGGCCCTCCAGAGTTGGGGCTATGAAACATGTGACTCTTGTTATAAAAACTTTAGCTTTAGGCAGTAAAATCCTAAATGGCTTGAGACCAGGATATGTAGAAGATCCATGGTTCTACCTGTCATCTCAGATCACCAGTGGACAACTTTCCTCGTATTCTCACATCTGAGATGCACTTTATAGGAATTTGGCTCCTGCTCAGTTGGCTAACTGGAAGCTCTTTTGTTTCTGATAGACTTGCAGTTTGCTTATTCTTTGAATTGCTATTCCTGACTTTATTTTTATTGCTTTTGTGTTTAATCTACTATATCTGCTTGTATTTGTGATGAATTTTACATTATGATTTTTTAAAAAATATTGCTTTTTAGTATCATTTTTTATTTCTTTGTCATCTTGGAAATCAGAAAAAGTGAAATATAAATGTTTCTAAATACTAGGCTTTTGTTAGGAAACTTTTTCGGATTGCTTAATCTCACAATCTTGCCATTTGAGTTCATTCTTCTTGGCTTGATTTACCTAAGGGTAAAGCTATTCTTTTCTCGCTTTCGTTTGACTCAAGGTATTTTCCTGAAATTTTGCATGACTGGAATAGAAGCTGAAAGCGACAGTACTAACATTTATGGTTATAGGACAATCTTCTTCTCGTGCTTGGGACACTTTTGGCTTAAAATTGACAGGCATAAAGATTTTAATTTATTTTTAAAAGGGAAGGAAAACAAACATGTGTCTCTTTCTTTACCACATAAATTTAGTTTTCAGGTACTTTTTGAAGGGAAAAAGAAAGAGAAGAACGAAGGCCAGTTCTGTGGCTCTTGTCAGCTGCCCTGCTATCTCTAGTACAGTGGTTCCCAAACTTGGCTCTCAAGATGTTCTTGAACTAAAATTCCCAGAAGCCTTCATCACTAGCTGTGCTGGCCAGGATATCTGGAAGTTGTAGTCCCAAAACATCTGGGGACCCAATGTTGGGAACCACTGGTCTAGATGAATGAATTTCATGCTGTTGAGTATCCAACATCTTAAAGGAAGCCCAAACAGTGGGTACCACTTACTTTCCATGACTATAACTTGGAAGCACTTCTCACATACATACAGACACAATGCCATTCAAGAGTTTTCATTTCATTGTTCCTTGGTCAGCTGTGAACAAGGTATATATTTGGGGATTTTTTTTTTTTTGCCTGATGTGTTGTTTTCTTTCCAGAAGTGACATACTCTCGAAGTACTGGCCAGAAGGAGCAACAGAGCCGCTGCTTACAACGAGGCAAGTGTTTCTCATTCATTATCAGTATTTTTGGTGCATTGTAAAAATTGACATTTTTTCCACTTACAAGGCGTCTATACACATTCCCTTTCTAAAAGCAAAGTGGAGGTTGTGTTTCAAAACTACTTATCTCTTTATTGATTCAGGGTAAACATCCTCTGTGTGGTGTAAAATTTTTCTTCTATTCCTTGATACTCATAGACTGCAGTGGTGTCTTGCTTGACGAGGATAATCCGTTCCAGCAAAATCACTGAAGAAGGAAATTGTCATCAAGCGAAAGTAAAAAACCAATTGAAATGCATTGAAAACCGGATCAATGCGTTCCAATGGGCGAAATACCTCAGCGTCCAGCGAAGATCCTCCGTAGGGCAGCCATTTTCCGGTGCCTGTATAGTGAAGAATCCGTCTTAAAACACAGCGGGAAGCCATTTTGCCCAGCAGGTGGCCATTTTGAAGACCCAACAATCAGCTGTTTTGATCGTCGTTAAGCGATAAATCAATTCCCAAAGCAGGGAATCGATTGTCGTGAAGCGGTTTTTTCGTATATAAACATCATTTTGTGATCGCAAAATATTCATCGTTAAGCGGTTTCCTCATCTAACGAGGTAATCGTCAAGCAGGGCACCAGTGTACATTTCAGTTCAGTGTCCTTATTGAATCCAAATTGAACTAATTTGCTGGTTTCATGACCTTGGACTAGTTTCTGCTTTCCTTTGATGTTATTACTGAATGTATTATAAAATAGAGAGATGTCTTACTTTGTCAATGCTGAATGCAGATTGGAAATATTGTCTGACATACTAATAACCTAAGATTTTACTCCATCTGCAAAAAAATCCTAGCCTAATTATTAATAGCTTTTTTAAAAGTCCAATTTCGTGCTACACTGCATTCTGTAGAATGAAGTTCCTTTTAATTTGAGTTTATTTTGGGAACATATATAATATCTCCACTATCCTCTAAACATTTATCTCCTCCCATGAGTTAGAGCAGCACATGACACTTCCATTTTTAACCACCATATGAACGTTTACAACACTTGTTGAATTCTCCCTGTTTGTCTCCAACATCAGCCATGTGTTCCCGAAGCAGGTTGCTGCTCTATACAAATATATGTGGACTATAACATCAAATGCTAACGTTAGGAGGGAAAATAGGAAAAAACATAATATTCTCCCTTTAAATCATACATATGGTAATACCACTGGAACAGATTAGCAGCACTTCTGAAACAAAAGTTGGGATAGCTTCACAAGTCCAGGATCAGTAAATGAGGATCCTTTCCTACACACCCATATTTAGTGTCATGGGGAGAGGAAAGCTCTGGCTTCCTCAAAACATCTTTTTGTGCAGTAATGCTTTTCTGGAGGTTCTTTACTTCAAAGAAAAGTTATCCAGTGTTTCTGTCCAGTGGTTCATAGCGGCTCAGAAAAATTTAAAAAGATTGTTTTAAAAGAATGACTTAAAATGCAATATGAATTTGGAACAGGAGCATCAACAGCTATAGTTTCATGATTAAAATCCATCAAAAGCATGTGCAGATAAAGTAGCTTGCCTGTGATATCCAAAGAGGATTAATGCAAGTGCCACCAAATACATTTGAGTGAGGAATTCTGGTCATTGTAGCGTAGTAGAACAGATATTGGTATCTGAAGAGTCTCGTTGTACGGGTGAACTCATATATGAGAAGGCCTGTCCCACAGTTGGAAACAATATATGTATAGAAATACTTTGTACGCAATGATAGAGTATTTTTCCTACACAGGGATCAAGCGTGTCCGGGATCTCTGCAAAATTCTCCGGCTTCCATCTTTGTTTGAAGATACAGCAGTGACCTATTATCAACAGGCAATCAAACGCCCCTGCTTTGGCTTGATCAGCTTGGAGAGGAAGGAGATAATTGTGGGCTGTTGTGTCTTTGTTACCTGTCGACAGCACAATTGGCCCCTGACTATGGCTACCATCTGCTTGCTGCTCTATGCCAATAAGGAGCTGTTTGCTAGGACCTATTTGCGCTTTTTGAAGGAACTGGCTATTGATGTGCCTGTGCTCAGCTTGATAGATCTGGTGAAAACACACCTCAGCAGGTATGTTGACGTCTTTATGGCCCTTTCCTATTAATACTTCTCAAACTTGGTATGTACTTGCTGAGGAAAAGTGGAGTCTTTCAGACCTCATGTGGATTCTCTTGTACATTGCCTCGGGGTGTGGACTAAAGGTAGTTACTGTGCAACAGTAGCCCTGCTGTAGTTAACCAGGGCTAAGTCTAGTCAGTACCTGGATAGGAGACCTTCTTGGAATGATTGGATATACTGTAAATTAGTATTCATGTGGAGACCTGCCATGCCCTTTTCAAAACTATCAAGGTATAGTCTCCAAGTCATACTAGGGCTTATTTTCGGGAAAACAGGGTAGAGTATGGTGCCCAGTTCTGGACACCACACTTTAAGAAGGATGCCACAAATTGGAGCAGGTTCAGAAGAGGGCAGCAAGGTTGATCAGGGGACTAGAAATCAAATCCTATGAGGAAAGGCATGTAAGCGTTGAGAAAAAAAAATTGAGGGGAAATATGCTGGCACTTTTCAAGTACTTGAAATGTAGTCATACAGAGGAGGAGCAGGATCTGTTCTTGATCATCTCAGAGTGCAAGACATGCAATAATGGACTCAAGTTACAGGAAGCATGTTTTAGGCCAGATATCAGAAAAAAAATATATTAAGCATTAGAGCAGTATGACAATTGAACCGATCATGTCGAGAGGTAGTGAGTGCTCCAATACTGGAAGCATTCAAGGGAAAACAGGACAATCCTCTGTCAGATCTGCAATGATTTGGATTCCTGCGTTAAATGGGTTTGGACTTGATGGCCTTATAGGCCCCTTCCAATTCAATTATTCTATGTTCTGTACAGTAACCCTTCTGTTTTGTAACAAGGGCCTTTGCCAAAACTGGGGTGTTATTACTGATGGTCTTTGCAGATGATCTTACAAGTTTATGCTGGATGCACAATGGGGGTTATAAAGCATGCCAGGAGTTTACTTAAGTAGAGAAGACTATAGATTTTACTCATCCAAAGGAGAGAGGGATATGGGTAAGATGACAAGGAAGCAAGGTGGTGTAGTAGTTAGGGCTGTGACTTGGAGGAGCCTGATTCCAGTCTGCCTGGAGGTGATGAAATTCACTGCAGCTTTAGGTTTGTTACGTATATTCTTTCAACCAGAGATATCCCCCAGGGATCTTGGGAGGATAAAGTTGGGAGTTAGCCGTGTTCACTGCCTTGGGCTCACTGAAGGAATGGTAGGATAGGAAAATAACAAATAAATAAATGAGAATAGAGCAGGGCTAGTAGTTTATTCTCTTCCATTCCTGCAATCCTAGTTGTGTTCGGGAGAGGGAGCTTTAGGGCTGTAGTTGGAAGCTTTCTTCTGTAATGGAGAGTGGCATCAAACTTCCTTCCTTTAAACAGAATTCTCAGAAAGGGGAAATAGTGTCTTGGTATGAAAATCTTTTTTTCTCAAACACCCTGCCTGAATTTTTTATTGCAGACTGCTATGAATGGCCGTTGCTAATGCTATTGTGAGGCCAGGGGAATGCATTGAATTAATAAAATTTAACATTAAACTGACATAACTTTAGGCAGATGGATATGTGATGTAGTGGATTGAATGGTGGACTACGACTCAGGAAACCTGTGCTGTGGAAACCTATTGGGGTGTGGATGTGTAACAATTGAAACCGTTACTTCAGTATCTCACTTAGGGTCTGTCCAGATGGGGGAATTTGGAGCAGTCTGGTTCATGCTTAAAAGGTTCTTCTCTTAAGTGTGATTCATTTTATTTCTCACGTGAGTGATCCTTCCATTCGCACTGGAGTTGTTTATTCTTCCATGAGAAGGGTCCACACGGGTATTTGGGTTGCTGGTTTACATTGAGTAACATTTACCTGCTTTATTCATGAGCATGGTTTAGCTGGTTTACTTGTTTGTAAGGTGTGACTGGTTTACTCATGAGTAAGGAGGCAGCGGTGGTATGGCAAGCTTGTGGTGATGGTATAGGTAGCAGTGGCATGAGGGGAAAACATGTGAAGGTTGGGGAGACAGAAGGGAGTTAACTCCCCCCCCCAGCCTTCCTCCTGAGCCAGGGCTCTGCTGGGGATGTTCTGCCTTGTGGGGACAGAACCCATGGAGTTGGTTGGTCAGTCCCTCTTTCCCTCTGTGAGGTGGCATTGAGGGAGCAGGGGTAGCTTCACTGGTGGGCTCTAAAAATCTGAGCAGGCAACCCAAAGGTAGGTGCTTTGTTCTTCAGGAGGGGGTATGTGTGAGAGCATTTCTTTGGTTGCATAAAGCCCCAATCCAGGTGGCTTTCCCAATAGTTGCTTCTATTTATTTTCCACAAAACTCCCTCCACCCAAAACAACCCAAAACAAACACTAAACCAAAAATAATGGGAGGGAGATGCTGTCATCTGTGGATAAATTTGGACAGTGAGGACTGACATCACTCCCCTCCCCATCTTTTCCTACAGCCATAATTCAGCTGGCTGCAGTTACTTTCCTTTTTGTTGTTGTTATATAAAATGACATAGTGAAACAGCACTGCCTCTATGTAGCATGGTACACATACTGCTTATGTATCTCATTTATCTAAAATAGCACTGCTTCAGTAGGGAGATATTAAAAAAAATTAAGTGATAGAGAAAATGAAAATAAAAAAGAGGGGTTCCCATCGTCCATTACAATGTCACAACCTAAATAACACCACTCACAGCTCCATTTGGGTGCAAACTAACTATCCACATAGGTTATGTAATGGGATAATTAGGAGTGCACTGAATAATGAAAAAAGAAGCAGCAGCCCTAGTACTGTGCCAGAAAGGTGCTCTAAAAAGGGGTAGGATGGAAAGCTCTAAGTCAGAACACATGTGGACACCGTAATTTGATTCAAATGAAACTGCACCAAAAGTGATCCAAGTTATGAGCCATATACACATGTGGACAGGCACTTAGTTTGCAAACACTGATAGAGTTATTATAAGTCAGTTCCACTTGTCACACTGCAACAGATATGAACATAACTTTCTTGTAGAGTTTTTGCACACCCCTCGAGTAATGCTAAAGGAAGGTGCTTACCTCTTTCTTTGTTGTACCTTCTAGCATGCTATATCCGCCAGTTCCATCTTCTTGCAATGCTTTGTTTTGTTCATACTGCTCCCTTCCCACCACCTTGCCTTCATGCCAGAGCAGTCTGTGTAATGATATGCTCCTTATCCACCCTTTGTAGCTTCAAGCTTTGTCAGAAGGCACCCAGCATTCCACCTAAATTTGTGGAAGACAAGGAACAGCTGGTGGCAAGAACAGTCCAAATGGTTGAGCTTGCCAGCGAGACATGGCTGGTGACTGGCCGGCACCCCATCCCCATTGTTACAGCAGCAGCCTACCTGGCCTGGCAGTCCCTGCGACCTGTCGATCGCCTCACTTGCACCCTTTCCCAGTTCTGCAAACTTGCTGGCACAGACGTTCCACAGCCAGCCCACCTGAGATTGAAGGAGCTGCACAACATCCTGCTTCAGATGTCTTCCCAGCTGGGCTGGTTGAGAGTGCTCAAGGTGAACCGGAAGACTGTGGTGAAGTATGTTGGGGACCTGCTTCAGCACCGCCGTGTTCTCCTGCGGGCTGCCTTTCGTGTCGTAGAGAGTACTGAAGGTTATGGTGCAGATGGCTCAGCAGCAGAGGCACCACAACGGCTTATAGAAGAGAATAATGATTCCCATCCGGAAGAGGAGCAGAACTGTGGCAGCAAGAGGGCACCTTTGCTCCCACCCTGCATCTTGAACCCTGCAAAGAAGCTGCGAACCCCCGATACAAACCCCGAGGACTCTGCTGTCACAGGGGATGAGGGCATTTCAGACAGGGAGATAGAGCAGTACATCCGAACGCCTGAAGAAAAGGAGATGTTTAGCAAAGCTCAGGCTTGCCTCTGACATGGTAGCCATGAAGGATTCTGAGAGGTGTGCAGCCAGGGATGATACAGCTACAGTCAACCCTCAACGTACGAACTTAATCCGTTCCGGAAGGACGTTCGTAAGTCAAAAAGTTCGTAACTCGAAGCAAAATTCCCCATAGGAGTGTATTGAAAACCAGTTAATCTATTCCGGATGTTTTGGGTTCTTAAGTCGAAGGGCGGTTTGTAAGTCGAAGCATTAGTTCCCATAATGCAAAGCCGGTTAATCCGTTCCTACCACTAAGAGCAGAATTTGTTCTTTTTTTCCCTTTTAACCTAAGATGATTCAGGTTTTTAAAAAAGGAAAGAAAAGAGGGAGGGAAGGATGGAACAGACACCTTTTCAACTGAAAGTTCAAATTTCGCACTTTTCATGCCTCCTGTGCGGTTTTTCCTCGTTCATAACTTGAAGCAAAGTTCGCAAGTTGAGGCACTATTTTCCTATCAGAGCGGTTTGTAAGTCGAAATGTTTGTAACTAAGGCCATTCGTAAGTTGAGGGTTGACTGTATTCTGATGGTGGGAGAGGCCTCTCCACCTTTTCCTGAAGGAGGAGAATTGGGCTAAATCCATTTGTTAGTACCAGAGTAAACCCACTAACAAATGGAACTTGTTAAATCAATATTTAAATCTCATAGATTCACTTTGGGATTAACTGTGTATAACCTTTCGTTGTAGAAACTTTGGTATGTATTGACTAACATCTAGTTTTTGCTTTTAAAAATAGCCAGTCTTACTGGAGATGAATTTAGATGTGATGTATCTCTATCCCATTTCTAGTCAATGATGGGAAGAACAATGCTGGAAACATTTAGGTATTGCTTTTATTGTACTGAGAATGTGTAGTGTACTTGTGGCAGAAGGGCTTTGTATATCCCCATTTGAATGAACTGTCTTGTACATCAAATGATTGATTAATAAAACTGAGACTGCAATGTCTGTGCTGCTCAGGTAACATTTAAAACCAGCTTTTAATGAGATGGACTCTATAATTGTTGTTATGGCCAAGTACTCACTGATGTTGAAGTAACCTCATCAATTGATGTGCATGTGATCAATTACAGTTGGGAAGGGATCATACTGAAGCCACTTTCAAGCAACATATGAATGGGGCAAAATTGGTAAGGTTCTATAAATGCCTTGGGTAAGAGGTAGCAGGCTATTCAGTCCTAGGTAAGTCTTTTATGGGTGTTTTTCCCATCAGAATACCAATGATCAATGTTGTTGGGCTGCAACTCCCATCCCTTGTCATTTGTGACTATGTTGGCTAGGACTTATGGGAATTGCAGTCAACAACACTTGGAGGACTGCATGTTCTCCCCCTTTGTTTTAGAGTACTGGACAATCTAAGGAATTGGACAAATCAATGTGTCATCCTTGTATGGCAAAAGCACCTTCTTCCTTGGTGCCTTGAGTTACGAACTTAATCTGTTCCAGAGGATGGTTGTAACTCAAAGCACCATTTCCCATAGGAATACATTGAAACGCGATTAATCGGTTCCAGCCGAACCCCCCCACACACTAAAAACACACTTAAAATGCACTGCAAGACCCATCACAGCACCACCCAGCCCAAACCCATACTGTAAAGCCCACCCAGAATAGACAGTTTTTAAAAAGCAAAAAGCAGTACTTTACCAGGCAGTCTGAAGCCTCCCCCAAACGCACACTCTCTAACCTCCGGGGCGAAAGAGCTACAAAGCAGCAGCCTCTTTGCCAACCAACAGTTAGCAGCTCAAATTTCCTCGCGTTTTTTCCAGTCGTAACTCAAAGCTCCGGTCGCAAGTCGAAGCAAAATTTTGCGGCCAGAGCAGGTCATAACTCAAATTGGCCACAAGTCAGGACGTTGGTAAGTTGAGGCGCCACTGTAATATGTTTTGGAACATTTCTTGATGATGTTTTGTGCAAGGGAGGAGCTGAAGTGGAAAGAAGAGTTCAGTCAATGGGGCCGTCAGACGCCTCTTTGAAGGCGGTTGGGAGGTGCTGGGAAGACACCTTTTGCTCATCCCTGCTGTAGTCTGAATCGGCCATTCTCAACCTTTTTTGGCCACATCCATAAACAGAAAATGAAAGACAGGCCGAATCTGTTGTATAATGAATATTATAAGGTGGTGTGTGAAGAATTATTTCCAGTCTGTGGCTCATATACCCCCTGGGGGGGCTGTGCCAGGGGCCCCCAGGGTGGTATATGGGCTCCATTGAGAATGGCTGGTCTAAATGGATAGTTTAGGAATAGTAAGTCATAAGTAAGAAAAACGTGCATGCAAGCTGAAACTCAGAATGCATAGTAGTGCAAAGATCTTTATGCAGTGTGTTGGCTTAGGTGCATAATACCAACATGACCACATGGGTGGGGAGACCACTTATTACTTCTCTTATGAAAGGCACTGTCTAATTGAAATTGTTTTAGCTTTTCCATCTCTTCTACAACATACTATTGAGAAAGAAGATGCTTTTGCCATACAAGGATGACCAATTTGATTTCTCCGCTAGTCTGAATTGTTGGACACACAAGTCCATCAACCACCAGTGTCACTGTGGCTAAGCTGAATTGGTGCTGGGCCCAGTCAAAGGTTCACTTTATGACTGACCAAATACTAAAATGTGTGCATTGTCAAAACATTTGCTGTGGAAGAAAGCAACCATAACTTACTGGATGTTGCAAATCTTTAATATATTAAACAAGAAACATCTGCTAGAAACAGTTCATTTATATAAAATGCAAAACAAAAAACAAAACTCATTAAATGCTTTCTTTGGCACAGTTGTCTCTCAAAGAGCTTTCTGTTTCTGATATGTCATTCGCTCATAATGTAAACAGATGAAAGAAAGGTAATATAAAGCTTTCCCAATAATACTGTTTCAGTATAGCAAGCATATATAACAAGTTCAGCATTGCCAATATGTGGATTGTAACATTTGACGTATAAATGATTTAGTCTTTAATAAACATCATACATTTAAAAACAAAACCCAATGTTTTTTCATGGAAGTGTGGAAAAAGAAAGGGATAACTGAAATGAAAGAGGGGAAACCATGATATTTTTGCAAAAGAGATAATAGAGGAGTTTGGGATAAATTTAAGTGCTGTATGACTTTTAATGGCTACGTTTCTCCATGCAAGCTCCAAGAGCCTCTGTGGATTGTAGTGCTCGCCCATGGCTCCGTTTGTGGCTGGTGACACCATTCACTGTGGGCCAAAAGAAACTTAGCAGTTCCTTGGAGGTAGTTTTTGTGCAGACGAGGAGACTGCATATGTCTGTCTGCCTAGGTAGTTTTTGTGCAGACGAGGAGACTGCATATGTCTGTCTGCCTACATGTAAGGGCATTTTAATTACTACCCTTTATTTAGCAAAATAGGTTTCTCTTTATAAGATCATAAATATAGTAAGAAGAAAGGCACACATGTGGCAAATTAATGTTTGTTTGTTTTTTTGCTTCCGTGTACCCATTCCATGTGTCTGTTCTCAAAACATTTGTTCTGTTGTCGAGGTCTTTCATTTTCTCCTCCACCCCATGTACAATGATGATTTGTTGATGAAAAAATAAAGCACCATGCATTATTTTCTCACACCATGCATTCATTGCTGTTAATTACTGCAGTTAATTAGTGTGCCTTGCTGATAGGTGGCTATTCAGCCTTTTGACTAAGCCCATAAATATTATCAGCCTGCCGAAAAATAAACGCTAGCCATATTGCAGAGTATTAAAGCAGTGGCTGTCTCCGAGTAGACCCAAGGGGGCACTGTGTTCTCTGAACTACAGTTCTAACGGTATACATTCTTCAATACAACGTGCTCTGTGGGGCTACTACTTCCCTTAGCCTCCCATGTGCCCCTGTTTCTGCTCCTTGAGAGGAAAAGCGAACTCTGCTTCCATCTGAACCACTGGTACAGATAGCGTCTCATTTGGGTATAATGTTGTTTCGTGGTATTATAAAATGGGAATTCTCTCTCACTAAATAAGGGTGTAATATAGGGATCTAAGCCACCACTATGTCTCTGATTTTAATTTACTGCAAGTTGCCTTGATTTACTCTTAAAAAATTAAATAAAAGGGGGATTGCTATTTGCAGGATCCACATGTTTACTCAATGGCCTTTGATCTTCCAGTGAACATTCCTGGCTCCCTTCTTTTGGCCAGCATGGGAACCAGTTGCACAATGCGTTTTTCAGGGTTGGCGTAAATTAATGACATCTTTTCTTGCTTGCTTGTCCTCTCACCTCTTGTAGCACACATTGTTCTCTATAACCTTGGAAGTTCAAATGTTCACTAGAACTAGAGGAACAGGAAAGAAAAGGTGGTGTTTTCCCAAGAACAAGATCCTGCCTTTTTAACCATATTAAGGAAAGGATGTTCTCTCTGCCATCTCTGGACAAAACGTGGGTGCTTTATAATTGCAGGGGTGCTGTTAATGCTCCAGCATGGGCAGAGAAGGTCAAAGCCCTGCTGCGTTAAACAGCCCAGGCCCAGGAGCGAGTGAGCCCAATTCAGCTCCAATAGCTTTCAAAGGTCATCCAGCTCTTGCCAGGTTTGCAAAGCTTCACAGGCGTGGGAAGAACAACTGCCCCAATATACTATGAGTCTGGTGCAAAGTGGTGGCTTGTTAGATCTACTTTGGTTTGTTTGTTTTTTTACTTGAGTCTACGACATTCACCAACTAAGGATGGGTGCAAAATAACTGTGTGGGCAACAAATATAAAATGGTGGTTCCCACTATCTAGTTGCATTCAGTGCAGAGGGTGGAAAATCTACTTTTTGAACCAAACTGCCAGAATTCCCCAACCAGCATCATTAAGTTTCCAAACGATTTTCTAGCTTCTCCTCAGCTTTCTGTTTCCTGTAACAAAAACAAATTATAAGCAATGATACCGCTATTACAAACCATCTTAGGTTAAGCAGGAATTCACACATGCAAGGCTAACAATCTTTCCACACTTTTAGATATTCCCTTTTTTCTCCAGCTTATGAAATCACAGAAGTACAGTGGTGCCCCGCATAACGAGCATAAGGACGAATCTGCATAGCAATTTGTTTTTTGCGATCTTTTTTACGATCGCATTGCGATGTTTAAATAGGCTAAACATCACATTGCAATGATCGCTAAAGCGTTTCGCTGATCGGCGGTTCCAAAATGGCCACCGGATGAAGAAAATGGCCACCCGCAGCGTTTTCGCGCCGATTCCTCGCTTACTGAGGCAGCGAAAATAGTGGCCAGATGGGGGATTCCCACTTAGCAGTGAGTTTGTCCCCCATAGGAACGCATTAAACAGAGTTTAATGCGTTCCTATGGGGTTTCTATTTCCATATAGCGATATTTCCAGATAGCGACGATATATCCGGAACAGATTATCGTTGCTATGCGGGGCACCACTGTAGCTTTATAAACTTAGGGATCTATGATGAGCCTGTTGGGAAAGTAACATTTTTTACAAATGCTAATATTTGCAATACTTTTATAGACTACTAAAAAATCATCACACAATAAACTGAGCTTTTGTGGATTAAACACCACTTCTTCAGGCTTGTACCACTGTGAAGAACTTGAAACATTTTTAAAATCATCATTTCCACTGTCTCACCATCTACATTTTGCTTTTGCAAAATGTTGTGTGAGAAGGATCCTTTGCCACTTATTTAAACTGAGCAACAAATAATTATCCTATCTGGGAAGCTGCCTTTGAGAAAGGGCTTTGCTCACAGGGCTACTTTCAGCTTGTTTCCACATATAGCAGATGCAACATAAACTTCTTAAAGTGACTGTTTGACTATTTGGCAAAGAAAGAGTATTTTCCATAACTGTCCCATGAAAAAATTACAAAGAAATGTCCCAAAGGTGCTTAAGAGCATTCTTGATACCCTCCCAATTCTTAAAGGACTAACATGTTTTGAGCCTCTGAGGTCTCTTGGACATTTTCGTTGACTCTCAAAATCTGTTTATACAGTTTAGATTTTTGGTCCTCATTCTTCAACATACTTTTTCTTTTTTTTTTGCTAGGGCTGCTGCTTCAAGAAACGGCTGTCAATAATGATCAATTCAATGTGTATATAGGCAAAAATAATATTTCTGATGCAAGAAACATGTTTGCTATGTTGTTAGGCACAGCATACTCGCCATAACAAATATCACAAAAATGAAAGACCATTTTTATCCAGAAAAGGGAGAGTGGCACTTTTAAGATAATATTCAGTTAAGTGCTTATATACTATTTGTGAGCAAATCTGCTGTCCTTTTGAATCTACTTTGGTCGTTGCATATTAAGCACTTCCAAGTGTCTTGCTCATACGGGGTCAAATTGGCAGCCCCCCTCTTCCAGCGACCTCGTCTGCCTTCTGAGGAGGAAAGTGGTAGGAGGAGGAGGTGGTGATGGGAAACATTGGGCATTGCTTCTTGTAGGGGCATGCATACTTTCAGTGAGCAGTGTTCAAGCTTTCACCCAAAAGACCAAGAGGAGGGGAGAGGGGGTTGAGAACTGCAACCCAAAGGTTGAGAACTGCATCCAAAGATGCTTTGTGCTGCTTTGGGTGGTAGCACTTTAAAAGTACTTTCAACCCAAGCCTTCTTCTAAATGCCCTCCTTTGTTGTTGCTGTTGTTTGTTTGGCTAGCCAAAACTTCAGCCTCTTGCTGTTACAGTATGTTACTAAACCATTCACAGACGTACAGCTTTGGGAATGGTGCTGAGGATGGTGCTCCCTTTGCCCCACTGCAGCATCCTGAGTAACCCAGATGCTTTCCCCAAAAAGCTGGAAAAATTCCTGGAACACATTTATGATAGCTCAAGAGAGCTGCAGGTAGGAAGAGTAGCTGAAAATGTCAGTGTTGCTGCTAACGTCATGTAGGACATAAGCCTCGAGGTTCAAGAACTAGCACTGCTTGTTTCTAATTCTTACTGAACAGTTCACTTGTTTATGGGCTATACCCCTTCTACCTGTGCAGGAAACTCCTCTTTGTGAATGTACTTCTGGATTTTTTTTAAAAAAAGCAAAAATCAAAAATCTCTCCATTCCACTTAGAAATGAAGATGTCAGGGAAAATGAATACCCTGACAGGTTTTTGTGCAAAGGAACTTTTATTTTTAATTATATATTTTACTATTTCACCAAAGAAATAGGAGCCTTCACCTGGCAGGTCAAAGTGGTGTAGCCCAGCTACAAGAATACTGGATCATAAGAACAGGAAAGTAAAATGAAAGTGTGACAATCACATACACTCTTTTGAAACCTATCTTCTGCATGGTGGTGGTTTGTCAACACAGCCCCATAATCAAGCAAATTCAGTCTCTATGTCTATGAATCAGAAATAGCCACATGATTTGGCCCTGAGCTGAGTAGGAGGAGAAACCTCCTTTCCGTGACATGGTTTGCGTAATGTCAAATACGCAGGCACTTACACTGGATAGCAAATTTTGCCTATACATATGTACATATTTCAGCTTATAAAACACCGCCATCCTCAGGTATGCTATACAGAAGCATCTGAGGATCTAAGCGACATGCAGAAGAGATACAAAATATTATTGCAATGGCTCCAGAATGTTCAAAAACAAATGATTGTCTTCCGCCATATGAATTTAACATCTCAGGAAGGTAGGTGACCCCTGTTTGATCCAGGGAGAGGAAGGTCTCCCGGGGACACAGAACAATGAAGTCAACTTGAACAGCAGGGGCAGAGAAGGATTCCCACGGCATGCCATATAGACATCTATGCCCAGCTCTGCCACTCAAGTGCCCAGTGAACCTCCTTCTCTGCTGCAGGGAATTTAGCAAGAAGCATGGTCACTCCCACTAACGCCATCAAAGCCGATATGGAGTGCATAACAGACAGCTCTGCAGCTGGCTTTGGCAGGCTCTGGCAGTAAGATGCCCACCCCTTGCAACCTCTTGTTAAGGAAGAGAGCAGGGGACACTCCACAGCTGCATCTGCTGGGCTCTTTGACTTCCTCCTAAACGGTTGTCTCGCTTTTCCAAAGACCTGTTTTCATGCCAGCTGCAGTGTCAGCATTGGTGAGGTTTATATCATACTTGCTGCCTTTCAACGCTCCGTTCTGATTGGGTGCATTGAGCGGAAAGGATCGCCTCTTCGTCTCTTTCTCTGCTGTGGCACTGGCCTGGTGTTTGAGATTGTCTCTGCTGGCGCTTCGTCGTTGGGCTCGGCCAAAATCTGGCACCTGGTGATTGCCACTGCCATCACTCAAATCGGACTGTGTCAGGGCTGACTCCAGGCTTGGCACCACCCCCAGACGCCGATTGTTCAATGGGCTATTTCGGCTGCTTTGGTAACTCTCCGAATGGCTATTGTGGAGGCTTCCGCTCTCACTAGTGGGATGCTCAGAGGAAGGCCCCCGCAGTGCCTTCAGACGCTGGTGTTTCCCTTCCCTGTACTGCTTAGTCCGGCTTTTGTGGTGCCGGCTGCGCCCGTGCAAGTTGTTGGCATACCTGGCTGGCGGGGTATTCTTGCTGTTGGAAGGCTCTGCATCCTCAGAGCTGGTGGGGGGCAAAGGGGTCACCTCTGCCTGCCCAAGGGCCACTTGCAGGTTGTTGAGCTTGCAGGGCCCTGGGGCTGAATTAGTGCTACTGGGGGAAGATGAAGACTTGATGGACTGAGCCGCTTCGGGGCTGCAACCGATGAAGACCTGTGAGCCATCTTCCACCCCGACCCCAGGGTGGACGTAGGCTTGCATGGGCAAAGCATTCCTGTAAGACGGGCAGCAGGTGAACCACGAACTTTGCACATCCTGGCGGCGGGCACAGTGGTAGACGAAGATGAAGAGTCCCAATGCTCCCGCTGTGATGCCGTAGAGACAGCTGAAGACAACTTTCAGAAGAAACCACTGCTGGGAGACTGCCATGGCCCCAAACGTCCACAGGACGATGTACAAGAAATGGGTGATCACAAGGGCCCAGAACTGCACTCTTAAAGAGTAGATACCATCAACTTCAACACCGTGGGGCCCGGGATTTAGAGTGACTGAGATGGAACCTGAATCAGTCAAGAAATTGCTGCTGCCCCCCAGACGCGGTCGAGTTTCCAAAGGCTTGGGTGTCTCCTTCGGGTTCTTGGCTTGGCCTTGCAAGCTGATCCCAGAGCACAGAAAATATATCCAGGTGACAAGCACAATGAAAGCTACAGGCACATAGAACGCCCCAATGCTTGGCCTACAAGCCAGCCAGCAGCTGCATAGTGGTGGGGAGATAGAGAGAAAAGAGAAGAAAAAGGTTAACAAAGTAAACCAGTGGCCACCCTAGGTCAGGGTTATCAGCAGCTAAACAACCATGCTCTCTTTCACCGGTTCCCAGCCTGTGGGCTGTAACTCCCAAGGGAGCAACAAAGTGTTTCGTGGAGGAGGGGGTGTTGCAGGTCATCTTAAAACAGGGGTTTCTATCTGTATGCCCATGATGAAGCAAACAGGTTACTCTATAATGTCTTATCACTATGTTAGAAGCCATTTTTTACAGCATGGAGAAGTCTGAGGCCCTAGTCTTATTTGCTCCTCTATGGCGCATGGGAGTCAAAGGGAAGACCGCTCTGAAGACAGGAGTGGGCAGAGTTCCATGTGAGGAAGCTGGAAGTGGGCAAAGGGAATGTGGCTTGAGAACTTGGGAGCCTTCTTTTGTGTGTAACACCCCCCCCCCGGCAGTCTTTCAGCGTCCTTCTCTCGCATACCCTGGGTTTTTCTCAAGATGGATGTGTGAGCAAATGTGGCAGGGGATTGCAGGTGTCGTGGCTATTATAAAAAGGAGTCACAACTTGAAAAAGGTTGGGAAATATTCTTCTATTCAAACTAGCAACCTGCTTCCCTCAACAGCTAAGCCAGTGCCCCAATGAACCCTGTAGCAGGGATTGGCATGACCCCTGAATTCTAAAGCCCTGCTTCCAACCAGCCTCAACACCAGCAAAACTGACCTGATTTTAAGGCAACTTTGCACAGATCAGACAGCACAAGCGGCCAAGCTAGAAATGCCCTCTGACTATCCTGTCCCCTTCCAGCTCGCATTCCCACCTCTGGAGGACTACGTGAAAAGGTGTGTCTCATCTCCGGGGCCATCTCACTGCTGGTGGCCTCTGCAGATGCTAACAAGTACAATCTCTTGCAGATGCCTTCCTCTGAGTTCACATTTCCATCCTTCCCCCACAATTGATTCTTTTTCATACACCTTCAGACCCACCTGTCATGGTTTAGGACTCATCTCAACTTAAATAAGGGTCAACTGGATTCTGAACCTCTCTATTCCAGCCTCAGCATTCTCTTAGGAGAGCCGAGAGCTGTTTAATTGCTCTGCCCATGGAGCAATTAAACAGAAAACAGAAAATTGTTCTTCAGTGAGCCATTTTGGGACAGGGGAAGTTGCAAAATATGAGAGGACCATTCAGCTTTCCTTTTGCAGCTGTAATCCAACCACAAACAGGTTTGTGTGTGTGCTTTTCTGGGCCTATTTGCTATGTGTTGGGGGGGGGGAGAGCCTGTGGTTCTCAGGGAGGTGAATAAGCTCCCCTCCAATTCCCCCACCCCAAATATTGACTATGCACCACCATTAGGCTAAAAATACTGCTTTAAAGTGGCACATATACACAGACATCCCAAATTGTAACATGGCAAGAACAGGGGCGGTGGTACAAGAGGTTCATAAAATTAGGCATGATCTGTAGAAAGCTTTTCTTCCTCTCTAATAGCATTAAAGCATAAAGGCAGCAAAGGAAATGGATTGGCAGCAAGGTCAGGACACATGAAAAGACGCCTTTCTTTACACCACGTGTAACTGATGTATGAAGTTCACCGCCACACGATGGTGGCAAAGGCCACCAGATTCAATGGATATTAAAGACAACAAATTAATGGGCCCAGATCTTCCTCCATAAGCATCTTATAGTCATGGAACCTCCACAGTCAGAGATAACATGTCAATGAATCTCAGTTTCTGGTCATGGAGAAGGCAAATCAGGAGAGACAGAAGGGCAACGTTTCAGACACTGTCATGTTCTTTCTTTAAAAAATAAATTAGGCATAGTTTGAGCTTGGATAGGTTTGTTGTTGTTTAGTCGTTAAGTTGTGTCCGACTCTTCGTGACCCCATGGCCCCCTCCTGTCTTCTGCTGCCTCCCGGAGTTTAGTCAAATTCATGTTCAATGACACTATCCAACCATCTCATCCTCTGTTGTCCCCTTCTCCTCTTGCCCTCACACTTTCCTGACATCAGGGTTTTTTCCAGGGAGTCTTCTCTTCTCACGAGATGGCCAAAGTATTGGAGCCTCAGCTTCAGGATCTGTCCTTCCTTTGGAAAAGTTACACCTCCGAAAATCCCCCTCCATCGTGCTAGTTTTGAGGACTTCTGGGAGCTGTGAACTAAAAGTAACTTTTCCTAGCTCTGCTGCAGAACAAGTATACAGTGGGGTCTTGACTTAAGAACTTAATCCGTATTGGAAGGCGGTTCTCAAGTCAAAAAGTCTGTAAGTCAAGACTCCATTGACCTACAGTGCATTGAAAACCGATTAATCCCATAACAGGCCATTTTTGTTCCATTTTGGTTTTTTTCTGGTCTGTAAGTCAAATCTCAGTCTGCAAGTCAAACCTAAATTTTGCGGCCAGAGAAGTCTGTAACTCAAAAAGTCTGTAAGTCAAGCCGTCTGTAAGTCAAGGGTCCACTGTACTCAACTGACACAAGGCAGCTTCCTTATATTTCGTGTTACAATTAATTAACAGATATAACCAGGTAACTAATCCTCAAAACCTTTAAGCATTGGATTGCTGTAGATATAATTGAGATGGTTAATGTCTTCAACAGATGAGCCTGTTTTCTCCCTGCCTCTAGCAACACAAGCAGACTCTGATCCTGCACACTTGTGCCTATGCGTGACTCTCATACCAGTCCTCTCTGCTCCTAAAATCTAGTGCTTGACTGTGTGCACAGAAGTACAAGCACACTCTTTGCTGCATTTTCCCTAGCCAGGGATATGTAAAGATTCTCCACCACTAACACTGGAAGTGATGGAAAAGCATCCCATTCCAGTAGTCAAGAGCGGCTTTAACCTCCATGCAATTATGAATCCTCTTTTAAAACTGGCCATGGTGGCAACCACCACCAGACCTGGTGTGAAGAAATATTTCCTTTTATATGTTTTGAATCTTCCACCATTCACCTTTGGAGAATGAGCCCAGATTCTAACATTATAAAAGAGGAAGAAAAGCATCCATGGCTTCTCTGGAAGATGGTTTAGGCTAGACCCAGAAGGAAAGGGAAGAAGATGGCTGACTTCCAAGAGAAAGTAGGTCCCACCAACCCTTCTAAAACAGGGAACCAGAACTCAGGATTTGTTGCCAGTTGTGGAGACCCTATCCATAAATGGGGACAGGTGTGACAATTACTCACTAGGAATTGTGATCTCCATAATTGTGGATATTGACAGCGGCTGTGATCCCACAGATGATGAGAGGGATTCCACCAGCAATCAAGTAGAACCTGAAACATACATGCACACAACACAATCCTGGCATATATTTAAAGAAATATGGCAGGGGATTGGGACAACAAGGAAGTGAGGAACCCTCTTATGGTTTCCAAAGGAAACAATCCACCTATGGTTCACACAGAAGTCTTGCACTGAATCTGGCAGGACTGGAGGAGGGCTTCTCCTGTGATCCATAATTTAGCGACACAGTAATGACAGGCACTTCCAGCCCCTCTGCTTGCACCCAGCAGCTTCACCCTCCACCCCACTGCTGCCAACAAAGTGAAATGTCCCTTCTTTGGTACCGTAGCATTGGGCGTGGGGCTGGCGGGGGCACCTCCTGTTCTGGCAACTGTGGGGCCTTCCACGTAGCCTCTTTGTAGATCACGCGCGCCATCACCACCATCCATAGCAAAGTGGACAAAGAAGAATAGTGGAGGATGATGCCAACCTGCAGAGGTGGGGGGCAGAAGCAGATTTATTGGAAGATGCAAACATCTTGGATCACTTGAACTTAGGAACCAAAGGGCTGGAAAAGGAGGAAGCTGTTGGTTGGGTTTGTGTTTTCACTTGAACGTTCCAAGTTTCCGTGTTGTGAACAAACTGGAGTGTAGTTGAAGATCAGTATCCACCCTTTTCTAAAGTTTTCTGTCAAAGTTTTCTCATTAAAATGCATACAAAACAGCACACATAAAATATCATGTTATTGAAAAATATACATACAAAAACTTGAGTTTGGGGGAAAACCTGCCTGAGAAATGTATACATTTTGACAAAGGTACATAAAAATAAATATTTGCTAGCTTAGTAAAGTAACTGATGTTATAACAGGACAGGACGAACTTTAGGGAAAAATGAGAAAAGGGTGAATCTGAACCTGATAGTTTAGCTGTCCTTACAGGGAGATGCTCTTAGTGGATTGCAATTTCATATAATTTGGACCTGAATATTACTATCACCTCTTTCAGGGGACCATTTATCTTCTGCAGCAGTTCCCAAACTGTGGGCAGCAAAACTCTGGGGTGCCACTAGACCCAGCCAAGGGCAGGTATAGAATCCTTGGAGCTACTTCCATGGCATCCTTGCATCTGCCACTCAGCCCAGGCTTCCCAAAGTATTATATTGGGGGAGCCGGGGACAGTAAGTCGAGGGAGCTGCCAGTCCAAAATGTTCCCTGATCTTCTGGGAAAGGGACAGGGAGTATGCGGATTTCAAAGAACTAAACCGACTGAAAAACCAGTGGCCCTCCAGAGGCTGCTCAACGGTATCTCCCTCTGCAGGCGGAGGGCTATGTGAGCAGAAGTCTGATCATACCTTAGAACAGTGGTCCCCAACCTTTTCCGAACCATGGACTGGTTGGGGGGGCGGGGTGGGGTGGGCAGAGTCTGTGCACAGCTGGGCGGGGCACCCATACGTACACGGTGTGTGTCTGCACGTGCATGCGTGCATGGAGGGGGCAGGCGGGAGGATGGGTGGGAGATCTGTCTCCGCAGCCTGGTCTTGCCAAGGCTACGGCCCGGTACTGAGCACTGACCAAGCAGTGTTTCATTTTTAATTATACTAAATCACAATGGTGCATCATTCTTGTGAGATTATGGCCTGCATCCATTCAGGTACTTCCACCAGCACGGCAGGAATAATGTCACCAGCACCCACCAATTAGAGTCCCTGCTTTTATATGGGGTTTGATAAGCAGGAACTCTTTAATTAGTGGCCATCTCCTGCTGACCCTGATGTCACTCCTGCTGCACCAGTGAGCGGAGGTATGCAGCAGGATTTGGGCCACTACGCCAGCAATTGCAGAAGAAAACATCTGCTGGATTGTGTACAACACCAGGATATCACTGGGAAGTGACACAACTGCTGTATAAGGTGTATATGGGTGGATGTAGAAGTCATCAGTGTACCCCTGAAAGCTAACCAGGCTGACATCCTCCTCCCCAACATACTCACCGCTTGGCAGATAATCACATAGTTGGTGAGAGTGATGCCACCTGCAAACACAGCTGACGTCATGGCGATGTGGAAGCAGAGGTTAAGCAGCATGTGCCAGCACTTCTGTGAGATATGAATGGAGCTGGAAAAAACCCAGAGCCAGAGATATATGGATAAGGAAGCCAGGAAAAGACACGAGGCCAGTGGCAAAGCAGGTGTTCTGCATGCAGAATTTCCCAGACTGAATCCCTATCATCAGGCGGTAGGTGATGGGGAAAGAATCTTGGGCAAACTGCTATTAGTGCATAGAACAGAGCTGAAGAAGTCCTTGCCCAACAACTCTCATCATCCCTCATTATAACCCATGTTAGGCTGGACGAGGTTACTGACAATTATAGATGAAAACATCTGGAAGGCCGAAAGTCCCTTCCTCTGGGCTAGACTCCAGCTGTTACATGGACATGTAGTTTTATTTCATGCCATCTCTGCCTACAGTGGCCGGCAAAGGTACCACAGGGTTCCAGACCTTATCTGGAGATGGCTAGGGAGGAATCCATGATCTCAGCCTGGGTGGCCAAAGTATGTCCCTCCAGATGGTGGACCAACTGCCCGCAGCCGGAAGCAGGGTAGCCCATGGTGGAGAAAGCTGGCCTTTACAGCCCAATCACACCTGAAGTGTCCTGGCTGGATAGCTCCGTGGTTTAAATATCTGGCTCAGGGTAGGTAGTCATAGGCAAGCTGCACAATCCCAGGGTGTCCACAGAAGAAGGGAAAGGTCACCCACGTCTCGGTACTCTCTGCCTAGAAAACCCTGGAAAGGGTCACCATACATTGGAATCCACTTGATGGCACACAATTATTATTATTATCAATGTCTGGAGTGCTGCCCTCTACCATTAATGTTCCGAAAGCGAAGTGTGGACTCAGCCGATGAACGACAGCATTCCTTCCCCAACAGAGAAACAGATTAATATCACCACACAGGGCTGACCTATCTCTTATATGTCTACTTCTCTGGCTACCCGCCTCCACTCCACCTCATTCCAAGTAGGACATTTTCATACAAAGCAGCTGTCTTAGTGGACTAGTAGGGGGTGGGGGGCAGCATAGCTTTTCCAGCTCATATATTCCAATCCCAGCCCCCTTTTTCTAGAGAAAAGGTTGGAGTCTTGTTTGCCTTTTCCCTTCCAGTTATATTGACTTCTCAGTGGGATACAAACGAAATTTCATCAGAGACATTTCCTGAAGAAATATCTCATGCTTTTTCATACTACCCTCCTTTATTGTAGTGGTGGTGGTGAAGGGGGGTGTAGCAGCTTTGTATATGTTTCTCTGAATATTTACATCCTTTTACAATGATGTGGCAGCCACCCTTCATCCCTTGGCCCAACCAACCATGCCCACAAGAATGGTAAGTTCACAGCATGGCAGAGAATGAAGGACAGCGCCCACAGCCTGCCAGTACATTTGCAGCTCTTGTCATTTGGAGAAGTAATGTCCTTCCCTGTTCCCTGGATTTTAAAAAAAGAGCCATGTTCCAGTTACTGCAGATGGCATAGGATAGCTCTCTCCCTTCCACACCGACTGGCTTGACAGGGGAGCCTCGCTTTTGGCGATTGAGTGGCATTTTCCATCATGCCCAGTAACGTCAGACTCCTTTAGGGAATCAGGTTCAGCTGTTACACTTAAACTTCGGTGTCCTCCAACAGAGGTGTGCTATTGCCAGCCCCAGCATCTGCACCCTGAGATGCCTGCCAGAGTCCGCCTGATGGCAGTGGCTTATAGAAGCTCAGTGACTCCATCTCCCAAGGAACCTTTGGAGTAAATAAATAATTCTCTTGCAATTTGGTTGTTGTGGGTTTTACGGGCTCTTTGGCCGTGTTCTGAAGGTTGTTCTTCCTAACGTTTCACCAGTCTCTGTGGCTGGCATCTTCAGAGGACAGGAGTAGCACTCTGTGCTGTGGTGCGGTTTATTTGGGAGTTGAGTATTTATGGCTGTTGGATCAGCTTTTGTCCTTTTCAGGAGACTCAGAGACTGGCGAAACGTTAGGAAGAACAACCTTCAGAACACGGCCAAAGAGCCTGAAAAACCCACAACAACCATTAGATCTCGGCTGTGAAATCCTTCACAAATACTCTTGCATTTTCTTTGCCCACAAACAGTGTACAGAACTGTGAAAGGCCATTTGTGGCCAGGTGTCGGGGAGCCTCACCTGTGGTTGATGATATAGGTGATAATGGTGGTGAAGAGGCACAAGAGGAGGAGGGCAGTGCAACTGTAAATGACTGGGTGCAGCACTTCAGCTGGATTCTGCGACTCACGGGGGAAGTTGCTTAGCTCCTGCATTTGAAAACAAGGTTCAGCAGTGGTACGTACGGCTCAGCCCGCCCACCACCCTGGTGACTTGCAGGGGTGAAACTCAGAGCAGCGCAGTGAAGCGAGAGGACCTCTACATTTTCCCCCTTGTTCTGTGAGTAGTGCGGCTCCTAGATAGTGTGGGAGATTTAAAAAGGGCGCTTGCACTTGCCATCCACCCAACTCAGGATAGTTGTTAGTGCCACTGGACTCTGACAACTACTTGAGGATCTTGGGGGGGGGTACCCACTGCCATGTGTTACATACAGCACTGATGTTACCTGTCTGTCATGGGTTTGGAGGGAAAGTTCCATCCTATGGGGAGTGGAAGGCGGGACATCAGGAGGAGGGGCTGTACTGTATAAATATGTGAAGCCTGTGTGGTGACACACACACTAAGGAGATGCTGAGACACTGGGTTGTGACGAAGCAGCAGCTGGGAAGAAGAAGCTGTTGTGGGAGTCTGTGTGTCAGACAGGGTACTACTGTGTGTCAGAGTACCAACCTGATAGGTTCAGGTGTCTGTTGGTTAGCGAGAACTGATAGGTGCAGGGTCTGTGCTTTAAGTTAAGGTTCTGGGTGAACCAAACTGTATGTATGTCTGAGTGAATCTAAGCCACGTTACTTTATCTATTCACCTGATTGTTTTATTTACCCTGTTTGTATTTAAAATAAACCTTATTCTTTTTATTGTTTAAAAAGCCATCCCTGGTCTGTGTGACTTCTTATAGGGAATGGTTGGTGGCAGCTTAGTGTAACTGTGTGACAGATCCCAGTAGGTCTGGGTTTGTCACACCATGCTTTACGGAACACTGTGGGCCCACCCACCTGCCCACAAAAAAACCCTAACATGTTAAGTATTGCTTGTGAGTCTATGTTACATTTTAGTTACATCATTATCATCACTGTTATTTCTATTATTATTCAACAATACAAGACACAATCATTGACGGTTTTTATATAAGCAATATAAGTTATAACAAAAAAAATCTATCATTTAAATATCAGTGTACCATGCATGCTGTTCCTAATATGGCTGTTTTTTCTGCAGCTCAAATGGTGTTATTTCAGAGATCTGCAGTGGATTGCAATATTTTATAAAATTCCTTGTAATAAACTGCAGATATCTGAAATAACTCCATCAGAGCTGCAAAAAATGGCACTATTATTATTCAGAAACACCAGGCAGTCAACATTATAAAAACATTGACTGGTATTGTATAACAGATACAAAAACCTAAATATCTCTTACGTAAGTACAGTATCAGTGCAGTATGTATGATGTTTCTTAATATTGCTGTTTTTTGTAGCTCTGATTGTGTGTTTTCTGAGATCTGCAACTGCTTATAGTACTGGGTGTAGTTTCTTGATATTATTCCCAAAGCCCCAATGACTACGGGGACTACTGAAGTGTGTTTCTTCCAGAGGTGAGATGTTTCGATTGCCAGTTCTCAGTACTGTGTTAGTTTTTCCAATTCTTCAACTCTGGCATCTCTTGGAATTTCAATGTCTGTTATTCAGACGTTTCTTTCTTCTACTACTACTATGTCTGGTGTGTTATGTTCAAGGTGTCTGTCTGTTTGGATCTGGAAATCCCACAAGATCTTGACTTCCTCATTTTCTGACACCTTTTCTACCTGATGTTCCCACAGGTTTTTGAAGGCTAGTAAGTGATATTTTTTGCATAATCACCTAGTAGGCATCCTTCAGTCTCGAAAGACTATGGTAGCGTGCTCTGTATGGAGGACTTGGAACAGCGTCTAGTGTGGCTGAGGAGGCCAATTCGAGAGTGACAATCCCTTCCACACTGGAGACAAATCCAATCTGTCCCCTGTCCAGCTCCCTGGTTTTGCTTCCTTTGTGACTTCCTCTTTGCCTCAGCCTGCTGGACAAGGGTCTCTTCAAATTGGGAGAGGCCGTGATGTACTGCCTGCCTCCAGGCTGAACGATCAGATGTCAGAGTTTCCCATCTGTTGAGGTCTATTCCTAAGGCCTTCAGATCCCGCTTGCAGATATCCTTGTATCGCAGCTGTGGTCTCCCCCTGGGGCGGTTTCCCTGCACTAATTCTCCATACAGGAGATCCTTTGGAATCCGACCATCAGCCATTCTCACAACGTGCCCAAGCCAGCGTAGACGTCGCTGTTTCAGTAATGTATGCATGCTGAAAATTCCAGCTCGTTCTAGGACTACTCTATTTGGAACTCTGTCCTGCCAGGTGAAACCAAAAATCCGTCGTAGGCAACGCATATGGAAGGTGTTCAGCTTCCTCTCCTGCCGGGCACAAAGGGTCCAGGACTCGCTGCAGTACAGGAGTGTGCTCAGGACACAGGCTCTATAGACCTGGATCTTGGTATGTGTTGTCAGTTTCTTATTGAGCCATACTCTCTTTGTGAGTCTAGAGAACATGGTGGCTGCTTTCCCAATGCGTTTATCCAGCTCGACATCTAGAGAGAGGGTGTCAGAGATGGTTGAGCCAAGGTACACAAAGTCATGAACAACCTCCAATTCTTGTGTGGAGATGGTAATAGAGGGAGGTGAGTCCACACCCTGGCCCATGACTTGTGTTTTCTTCAGGCTGATTGTTAGTCCAAAGTCTTGGCAGGCCTTGCTGAAACGATTCATGAGTTGTTGGAGGTCTTCAGCAGAGTGGTCACTCTAAACAATGTTCTAAAAGTAACGAGAATATGAGAGCTGATAACCCTATTTTAAAAAAAGTTACTGGCTAGATTATCCCATTCCATCCTGTGCCTACCATCAGCACAGCAACGTTCCTGAGATGCCGGCAGCTCACAGTGGTGATGTTGGGCTCCAGACCAGCCAGCTGGCAGCCTTCTCCTCTCCAGCCACCATAACCGGATAAAACCTCAAAGTCCCAGTAAGCGGCCACACGGTCCGTCCCCTCCTCCAAATGTCGCAGCGAGATGATGACAGGCTCTGTGAGGTTGCTCACTCCACAGCCATCTGGGGGTGAAGGGTGGGGGTGGAGAACGTTTGGTAACAAAGCTGTTGGTGATCTTCAAAGTTCAGCTGCCTCTCTTAAGTTATAACCAGAGAAAGACTTCGAGAGACCCTCCCTCTCTCCCTTAGAAAGGGAAGGTAACAACATACAGATCCTCAGCTACAGAATTCCATGTGCAACACTCACTGGGGCTCCAGAGAAGCATCATCATCCCAGTGACAAGTAGGATCTGCAGCAAATGTAGGAGGGCTCCTATAATAGGAGATCTCCTTTTTCTGCATGCCGGCCAGCTAGCCATGCTCTTTTCCAGAATACTCCATTCCACCTCCCTTACTCATTTTCCAGAGTGTGTACTTTATATGCTATCAGGCTGGAACTGACTTGTAGCAACCCTAACAGGGCTTTTAAGGTATGTGAGATATTGAAGGAGTGGTTTTACCCCTTCCATATCCCCAGTGAACATCCATGGCCATGCTGGGATTCAAACCCAGGCCCTGAGCCCATCATCCTATCCACTACGCCCCACTGGGTACCCTATTTTCCATTAATGCCCTTCAACCATGATTACTTCCACATACTCAGCATATCCAATTCCTGAGTAGACTCATTTTCCCCTCCAGTTTTCCTCAACCCAAATATTTTTGAATTTCTGCAAATCTTGACGTTTCTGTGACCATATCAATATCTCTTTCTTGTGGATGGATGGTGCTGCTTTGCCAACATGACGATCCATTATCAGATAATGTGTTTCCTGTAGGACATTGGGTCAATCCATTTTCCAGCTTCTCCTCAACACATATTGCTATCTCACACCCAATGAGGCTAGAAACAGAAGCTCCACCATTGCCCAGACATTGCTTAAAGCAGTTTTCCTCAGCCTTCCAGATCCATGGCCCATTGTTCCCACCATAGCTGGCCACTGACCATGCATGCCGGTGTTAAAGGGTCCAAACTATCTGGAGAAGTGCCAGGCTGGGGAAAGCTATATCTTTTTCTTCACTTTTTCCTGCTGCCGCCCTAGGGTCCTTACGTGTTCCTGCATAGATCACTGGTGTGGCCACACTGCGCCGCTTCCCGTCATCAGCCAGGTGAGAAGAGTTTCCAGTGCTGCAGAAGAGTTTGCCGTTGCGGAAAACCAGGAACTGGAGCTTGCATCTGGCGGGTGGTGGGTGAGGAGGAGCGGGCGAGGAGAAGAGACCAGGAGGGAGCTGAATGGAGGCCAGAGCGATACTGTTCTGATGGGACAGGCAACCAACAGGGTCAGTGGTAGAGGAATGCAGTGCCACAAATACACCCAGGGAAAGTACATCTGGGCACCCGGGTGGGAAGCTGGCTTCAACTAAGCCAGGCTATCTTCTGTCTGGTGCATCAGGGAGAGAACTATAACCTGCCAAACCTTCTGTGTGGCCCCAGACCTCCTGAGTCCCCCCAAACCCTTCTTATCACTGGAAAAAAAAATCAGTAGAAAAATGGCCAATTGGATACCCCAAAACTTCCAAGGGTGCAAATTTCCTACTATGAAGCAAGTGTAACATTTGTTGGTACCTGAAATAGATGTAAGAACAGCCACCACCTACAACTGACCTGGTTTAGTTCAACGGGACAATGTCTGGCCCACATTTTCCCACCTCTGAGGCCAGTATTCCCCAGGTGAGCACTGGCCCTCTCAAAGATTCGAGGCACAAGTCTAGACTCAGCCTTGAAGGTTCATGTTTCTGTTCTCTGTGACTCTGCTGTGGAAGCTCCCCTCTATAGTATGTCTTTTCAGTCTATCTCTTCTGCTGCCTCTGTGGGAACACACACACCCTCACCTGGTTATGCCAGAGTTAACTGCCCCCAGAATCCAATTACCTGCACTTCTTTTTGTCCAACTCAAGCCTCTGCCCTGCTCTGCTCATTCCATCCCACCATTAGGGTTCCCTGGGATCTCTTCTTCCCCTTTTTGCGCTACCGCCACCTCACCTTGATGTGGAAGCTGGCCAGAGAGATGTTTGGCCGGCCGGTAGAACACCGGAACTTGAGCTGCTGGTCTGCTAAGGAATCCGTGTACCGCTCTTGGCGTGGAGGCCGGCCAGGGAGCATCACTTCATGCTTCTGGAAAGCTATGCAGCTCAAGCCCACATAGCTGTCAGGCTTGATTAGGTACGCCTCAAAGGCAATATTCCGGGAATTCTGCCCAAGCAAAGCGACAAGATGAAGTAAAAAATACATCCTTCACTGATTTTTGGATTCCACTTGTGCTTACCTTCCATTAAACCTCATGGCTGTTTCTCAGCAGGAGAGACGCCAAATTAAACAGACTCTCTGAGAGCCTGTGCCCTCCCCTCTACTCACTAACTTGTTTCCCCCTAGCCATGGCCGTCCTGAGTGAAGCCACCCACCATTTTAGGTTCCCATGGGGCCCTGCAACAATACAATACTGAATAAGTCTATACGTAGGTGATGTGGTGTACATATTTACGGTCACTCCAAACAAAACAAAAGAAATAACCATCAGTTAATATATCCAGTTTAAAAATATTTTATATAAAAATATAAAAGCTTGTATAGAAAAATATCTAAACATTTATGCTGATCAATGACCGCAATAAAGATTGATTGAATGAATGAATATAAACATTTTTATATGTACCTGAGGATCTGTGTGTGTGAGAGAGAGAGACAGAGAGAGAGAGAGAGAGAGAGAGAGAAAGAGAGAGAATATTACAAAAAAAGGATATGTAAAAGTATATGTAAAGTGCAATCTAGGCCACTCTCGGGCACTGTGTTTTGTGCTGTCAAGTCAGAAATGACTTATCAGTGACCCCAATGGGGCTTTCAAAGGAGTGGCTTTACCATACTTATTAATGACCCTAATGGGGCTTTCAAAGGAGTGGCTTTACCAGTTCCACTCCCCCAGTGAGTTTCCATGGCTGAAAAGGGATTCAAACCCTCTTCTCCAGAGGCCTGGTCTGTCACTCTGTCCATGGCTCCACAGTGAATATCCCTCTTCATGCTTTAACCTCTCTTATAAATTTGGATGCCCAATTCTTTCCCCCTCCAAACCTCTGTCCAGGACCTTGAGTCTGTATCTGAAACCCCTTCCACCTGGAGGATCACCATCTTACGCCTCCTGCTGTCTGTGAGAACCTCTCCAGCTCCCCATCCGAAGAGAGCTTGGATGCTTACCACGGCAACATGCTGAGAGTTGCTGCTGAGGGTATAGCTGGCAATCTTCTCCAGGGAGCGGACAATGCTGGTACAGGCCTTGTCCTCAATCTGAGCCATCCACAGAACATGGTCATCCACCAGCATCATGTTGCTAGCCATCTCCACAATGACGTCCGTGAGCTGAGGAAGACAGCAGACAGTTTGGGAGGCATCGGTGGAAAAACCCCAGGATGCCAACTAAACAGGCATCCATTTAGATGTAAGCAATGCAGTAGACCAGGGCGGTCAAAGCACATGGTAAAGCTCTCCAGATGTTGTTGGTCTGCAACTCTCATTAGGAAGCTCATGCTGGGGACTGCTGAGAGTTGGAATCCAGCAACATCTGGGGGCTACGCTTTGCCCACCCTTGGTCTAGGGACATTGCACAGAACACGGAGGGAATGCTACCTCTGCCAGGCACACTCCCAGCGTCCAGAAGATCTGGCAAAACTGGGTCAGGGAAGCCCAAACCATTTCACTGCCTTGGGCAAAACATACATTCCATGGTACTTAACAGAACCAGACAGGAAGAGTGAGGCAGTGGAGAGACTCAACAAATTCCAGAGCCCCATTGCAGCCTTAGATTTGGGTATGTACTCCAGTTTCTCTTACTTCCACCCCTTCCTGGCTATCATCAAGGCCATGAGAAATGCAAACATTTCATATTACAGAATCACTCCTCTGCAAATGGGAGGAAAAGTTCAGAATAAACAATGCAAATTAAAGACACCTTGCAGAAATAAGACTCAGCTCTTCACAACAATACTCAAGACTAGAGACGGGGAAGAACCAGGAAAATAGAAGTTTGTGATGGTTCATTGTTCCTCGTTATTCATGAACCACAGACTTTCACATGAAGCGAATCGCTCTGTGGTTTGCGCAGTTCAGAACTTCCAGGAGCGGTAAAACAGCTCCTGCATGAGTTACAGATGCCAAGCTCGCGGCAAGTCTTCAGCAACTCCCCACCACCTCCAAGTTTGGTAAATACTGAATTTGGGACTTCCAAGTTATAGCCCCCCAAATAGGTCCGCCAGCTATAGAGAACTTTCCTGGGGAAGACCTGTTTTGGCGGCCTAAAGCTCACACATCCCAAATCAGATCTTCACCAAACTTGGCAAAGGTGGGGAGGAGAGTCAACCGAAGATTTGCTGCAAGTTTGATATCTCTAACTTCCACAGTTTTACTGTTCCTGGAGGTCCCCAATCATATGGAGCATACGGATCACCAATAGTGGTAGTTCAACATTTAATTTCATTCTGAGCAGGTGCGTTTCCCCGAAGCACCCCAAAATGAACTATCAAATGGCCCAATTCAGGGGGGGGGGTTTGTGGTTTTTTGGGTTTTTTTTCCTTTGTGGTTCATTTCTGCTCATGATTTTCCAGCCAGCATTCAGTTCAATATTTATCTGTATATGGGGTTCCTATTCCAGAAACTGCTGGGATCTGACAAGAGCTTAATAGCAGGTAACCAGGTACACAATTGCCATCTCCTCAGACTGCCATGGCCATTTTCGCAGTTGGAGGTCTGCACACACAAACATTAAACAAGAGACTGGCCTCTGTACCTTTAGGATGCAGAAGCGGGGGGGAGGGGAACGGCCTGCAAGGGACCTTTCTTCAAAACCAAAAGTGTCGCAGTTACCTGCTTAATCTGGTCCACATAACTGGTGAACTTCTCAATCATTTGGGAGACATAGATCACATCCATCATGTCTGAAAAGTTTGCAGCCTCAGCTGTGTAGACACGAAGTTGGTGTGCCAGAGTCAGTGCATTGGACGCATTGATGGGCATCTGGAGGTTTAGAAAATAAGAGTGGTGGGTTTCACAAGCAGCCAAGGTCCAATTTGTGTGGCTTTAAAAAAACAGTTGACATTTATCTAGTCTGAAGGCTGCCTGTTATTCCCTGAGAGGTTGTCTCTAATCTGAAGTCCCAGCCTAAATCCTTTTGCTAGTCGGAGCTGGAGTAGATCCATGGTATCAACAGCTGAAACTTTTAAGTTTGGGCCTGCAACTGAGCTGAGGCTATACTGTATTGCAATAAATATAACCTGTTCACATCAAAACCACAAAGCCCAAACAACAGAAAGGGATAAGAGAGAGAAAAAGCAAAGGAGCTACATATCCATTCTGACTAACGGTGAGTTTTGATATGTTCTCCTATACATATATATAGAAACAAATTTTAGCCACATGCCTTGTAACAAAAGGAACCAATTGTGATAAACAGCCCCATCCTCAGTCTCCTATCTGAGTGCCCAGTTGAACTGAACAGAAGAGGGTAAGTAAAACAACATCTTAGGTCAGAAGTTGTGGTACAGTACAGAAGTCTATCAATGAGAGGTGCAAGAACTTTTGTCTTCCATGAACACAACATGGGTGCAGGAAGAAGTCTTGAAAACCAGCCACGAACAAGGGAGGGAAGAGCAGAGAGTCTTGTAAATACATGAACAGGGCTCGAGGGAAGAGCAGAGAGTCTTGTAAATACAAATCCTGTTCATGCTTGACTTTTCTTAAAAGTGGTCAAATCAGGCAGTGGAATAGCAGGTAGGACTTCTTGAACCACAGGAGAGCATTTTATGTTGGGCAACACCTCTAAGCCTCGTCATCCCATGTCATCTGGCCTTTCAGCCGTGTGCTCAAAATTGTCAGGTGTGTAAGAGAGCTCCTAGCTAGCAGTCAGCACTGACGGCAAGGGACTTTGCACACCTGCTGAAGGGATCTGCTTCTTCATGCAGTGTTGAGCCAGCTGTGAAAACAGGCTCTTCTTAGGACTAATGGCAAGAAACCAGTGGCTCAAATTAAGATTCAGGGGTTGCAGATGTTTGGCATAAGGCTCTTTATGAGCGTTTTTCCTTATGTTGCTTGATTCAGCCAGGATAGCTACAGAGACTGCTGGGAGGATGGTGTAGTCATGGTTAAAGCTCAAAGCACATACAGCAGGAGTGGCCAACTCTGTGACCATGGGCTGGATATAGCCTCAAGAGGCCTGAATCCAGCCCCCAACCTTTCATGCCCCCCCAAGTTTTCTTATGGGGGGGTTGCCTCAGGCCCTCCAGGGTGCTTGCAGAGTCATTTTTCTAGGTTCTGAAGGGCTCGAGCATCCCTTTGGCTCCTTTTGATTGTTCGACTTGGCCAATAGAGAGAACAGGAGGGCTTTTCTGGAGGGGAAAAAAGTGGGAGGGTGGAGACACAGGACCTGGCTTGACAATCCAAGATGCTGGAATGGGTGGGCATGGCCCTCAGACCTCTGGAATTTGCCTACCCCAATACAGACCATGGATGGGGGAACCTCCAGTGCACAGGCTGGATGCAGGGCACAGCACTGCCCATCTGGTCCACCTACATCTGCTGTTTTTCCCTCATCAATAATGGGAGGTAGGAGATTGTTTGTGGGATGTGGGTGTGCAGCGGGTTAAACCACAGAAGCCTATGTGCTGCAAGGCCAGAACACCAGCAGTCGTAAGATCGAATCCACGCGACGCCATTCAAACGCATGCAAATGCAAGTAGATAAATAGGTACCACCTCTGTGGGAAGATAAAGGCGTTCCGTGTCTAGTCACACTGGCCACGTGACCATGGAAGATTGCCTTTGGACAAAACGTTGGCTCTACAGCTTGGAAACAGGGATGAGCACTGTGCCCTAGAGTCGGACACGACTGGACTAAATGTCAAGGGGAACCTTTGCCTAAGAGGTTATTTAAAAGCTGGGAAGCTGCTGTATGAAACTAAGCAGTACTCTGTTCTGTGGAAAAGTTGCTGCATTGGGGCTTATCCTCCTCATCAGCAAGGACTAGAACTGAGCTGTGCTTTGTTTGATCGAAAAAATGCCTGAATGGGTTATGACAGATTACATCTGGCCCCACCTGATTTGCTCTAGCCACATCCCTATCATGAGTCCTGCTTACTCCTGGAATACGTTTCTTCAAGACCCAGATCATAACTCAGCTCCTAAACTTAAAAAAGCTTCTCTATTGCTGACCAAGGAAGATTATCCTCGATTCCCCAACTCACCAGCACAAAGGTGTAGAGAACACGGGTGATATCATTGGTGTATAAACAGTGGGAATAGTCCCCCTCTTCCCAATGGCCTGTGCGGTCACAGTGCCTCCACGCTTGCTTCTCTCGTCCGGGCCCACTGTTCCCTGACATGAAGGGGTACTGCAGGCATGACTGGTAAGCGGTAATGCCAGCCAATGTGCGCGGCCACCTAAGGGCAGAGAGGAGAAAGGCAACCACTGAGAATTACTCTGCAGTTTTCCCTACATTTGGGCCCTCTTGAGTATCACGAAAGTTTCTTTGTTGTTTCTAGGACTGCAAAAGTAGGCTTGCAAACCTACATCATATGCAAAGCAGGTAGATGTAGTATTATCCTCCTCATACTTCAGGCAACCTGTGTTTGGATGTGCTAAAAGATATAACTCCAAACCTGGAGATGTACTGGCCAGGCATCCATTGTGATGCTCATGGCCTCCTAAAAGATCATTGGGCATTCGGTCAGAGAGTTCGCTGGCACTTATCTACCACTTTTGCACTGGATCGAATCCAGCGCAGTGCGTAGCATAAACCCTTTGAACAAGTCTGACCTAAAAAGAACACTTTGCATTAGTACTTAGCAAGTCCAGCGCAGTGCGTAGCATAAAACCTTTGAACAAGTCTGACCTAAAAAGAACACTTTGCATTAGTACTTAGCAAGTACAGGCACATGGGCTTTGTGATTCCTTAGAACTCACAGCAGCTCAATGAGGTAGGACTCTTAAATGATAGCAAATATGTGGCCTCAGTAAGGATTTTTAAAATTAATTTTTTATTGGATTTAGCCAAACCTTGCTGTTGGCCATGGCAGTCTGAGGGACTAGTCCTCAGTAAGGATTTTTAAAATTAATTTTTATTAGAAAAATAGAGTTTCATTAGAAAATCAGTTTATACTGCAAAAGCATTAGCATTCAAAAACATATTCAAAGATCATTGCATTTAAATAAGATGACTATTTCCCATTTAAACTAATAAATTCTAGAAAGCTGAACTAAGGTAAGCTATACTGGGCTATGGTGGGCTAGCCCCACCTCCTCCTTTCTCCTTACATCCTCTCTCAATCAAGTCTTTTCTCTCCCATCATCATAGAATAGAAGTCCATCATCAGAACAACACACAAATCATTGAACACATTTCACCATCATCAAAACAACACACAAATCATTGAACACATTTCACATAACCCATCTTCCATTTTCTGCCCTCCTAACTCCTCCCTTCTTCTTGGTCTTTCTGGCTGTTAACCAATTAACTTTTTAGAAGTTGTACAACCTCTCTCCCTCCCCAATTCCCATGAGAGCCCAGGTGTTGTTTGTCTCCTGTAACCAGCTTGGAATGTTGTATCTTGAATGGGCCCCTTGAATTGGCCTTCACGTTATCTCGTTCCTGGCTGTAACGGTCTGCAGAAAAACACTCCCATGGCACTATAGAACAACACATTCCAAAGTCCCTCAAATCATCTTCACACAGAACCTATCTGACTCCATTTTATATTTCTCTGACTACATATCCCATCATCATGGCATGCTTCTAACCACATATCCCATGATCATGACATCCATTACTTAGGTATACCAGAGGGACCCAAATGGCATTAACTGTAGTATCAGACTACAATTATTTAAGAATTCAATGCTGGTATTCCTCATCATACAATTGGTGAGTGAGTCAATAACAACATTAACATTAATAATAATATTCATTAAAATATGCAAAGAAAAACAGGCCACAAATCATACAGCCTCTGGCATCTATATACAAATGCCAGGAGTATGGGAAACAAACAAGAAGAACTGGAAATCTTAGTTCAGGAGGGTAAATATGACTTCATAGGAATAACTGAAACTTGGTGGAATAACTGAAACTCGGTGGGATGATAGAGGGAATGCTGTAGACATAGCATATCTTGACTTCAGCAAAGCTTTTGACTAAGTGCCCCAGGATATTCTGATTAGCAAAATAACTAGGTGTGGACTGCACAGAACAACTGTCAGCCACAGTTGGCTACAGAAGTGTACTCAAAGGGTGATGGTTAATGACTCCTTCTCAAACCGGGAAAAGGTAACAAGTGAGGTACCCCAAGACTCAACCCTGAGCCCAGTGTGCTTCAACATTTTTAATGACCTGGATCAGGGGATACAGGGAATGCCAATCAGATTTGCAGATGGCACAACATTGAGCGGAATTAATACCCTGGAAGACAGAAACAAAATTTAAAATGATCTGGGTAGGCTGGAGCACTGGGTTGAAAACCACAAAATGAAATTCAACAGGGATAAGTGCACTCAGCCCTGAGCCCAGTGTTCTTCAACATTTTTAATGACCTGGATCAGGGGATACAGGGAATGCCAATTAGATTTGCAGATGGCACAACATTGAGCGGAATTAATACCCTGGAAGACAGAAACAAAATTTAAAATGATCTGGGTAGGCTGGAGCACTGGGTTGAAAACCACAAAATGAAATTCAACAGGGATAAGTGCAAAATATTGCACCTAGGAAAAAGAAACCAAACACACAGTTACAAGATGGGGAATACCTGGCTCAGCAATAGTACAAGCAAGAAGCATCTTGCAGTTGTTGCAGATCACGAGCTGAATACGAGCCAACAGTGTGATATGGCTTTTTAGGCTGCGTTAACAGAGGTATAGTCTCCAAATCCCACACAGTACTAGTTCCCCTCCCCTCCTTTCGGAACATGGGTTTGGATCCAGCATTCAATATTTATGGTAGAAGGGTTCCACCCATTGAAGGTGCTCCCACTCATCCAACAGTGGGTCCTCTGCACCATAGATCACCCCTTTCAACAGGGCCCATCTGTGAAGCAGATGGGAAAGGCAAGGAAGAGGCATGGCAGTCGGTTAAATCTGCCTGAATCTCAATCCAAGCTGATCTCTTTGCTTCCAAAATGGCAAAGATTCCCCTTTTTTATGCCTCGAAAAAAGCCCCGAAGTCAGACAATTCCTAGAAGAACAAAACATGCCGATTCCATCTCCTCCATCCACATCTCCTTCCAGTGAAAAGCAATGAGTTTGAGAAGGGGCAATTCCTTGGTGTGAGAGGTGAGGCTCTCCATCCTCTGAAAAATCTCCTCTGCAGCCTCATTGCCTTTTTGTGTGGAGAAAGCTCTAACCAAGGGTGTGGGGTGAGCATGCGCCCCTTTGGGTGTAGAATAAACACTGTTAACTTTCACCTAAAAAAGCCTAAAGAAAAATACTTGAGGCAGCTTTTCCCAGTCTAGCGCTCTTCAGTTCAGCTGAGCGACAACCTCCATTGTCTTTAACAGAGGCGGTTATTTTTATCCAACCAGAGCCTGAAAAAGGAAACCCTAGAATTCCCCAGCCCGTAAGTCTCAGGCCATGCCATCTGGACTCTGAGAGATTCTGGGGCCTGCAGCCCCAAAAGGGAGCCTTTTCCAGCTGTTCCTCCAGCACAGCTGAAGGGCGCTAGTTCCAGAAGGCAGGACCATGACACTGGCATCCAGCGAGTGGTTATGGGAGGAGAGCGCCATGTGGGCAATTCAAAAGGAGGTCTGTGGGGAATGGTGAACATGTTTCTGCGCAGAGGAAGAGGCTCCACCATGGGGGGGAAAAGCTTTCATGCCATGCCCTGGAATGCTCAGCCAATGAAAACGTCACATGCCAAGGGTTTTATAGGGTAATTTATTTGCCTCTCTGGAACTCAATGCTTGGCCCAGCTGCTTCAACATCTGGCTTTTGAGACTCATCCCACACAATCCCTTTTCCCTCCCTTCCTCCCACCCTCTTCTGCTGGCAGCAACAGCTGGGTGAATTGAAGGAAGACATATGGCGATCAGATAGTTACCCCATAGACAGACACACACATATGCAAGCATGCACGCACACACATCGATACAGAGAGAGACGCACGCCACATTCCCCCTTGGGCTGCTTTTGCCAAAGACAAAGCCAGTGTTCCCTCCTCACGGCTCCCTCAGTCTTTGGGCCCAAACCACAGTGGCCTCTGCTGAAAGAAGGGTTAATTCCAAGTGGGACAGGAAGACCCCTGGTATCCGTTTGTAAAGCAACCACATCAAATTGAGGGGAAACATCTCCCACCAGAGAAACAATCTTCCTGCTGGTCTCCAAAACAAGTAATCCGTCCAGTAGTTTTACCTACATTACACCAAGGGATAGATCTTCTTGGTCTTTACATTTTGGAAAACTGGGGGGCCTCAGTTTGTGGCTGCAGTGTTCCTACATGGGGTGGGGAGGGAGAGAAAGAGGTTTAACGCCATTTCCTTTATCTTGTTCCTGATGAAAAATTCTGCCCACCCCCTTCTCCTCTGCAGCTGCAACATCGTTCCCTTCTGGGGGACTTTTTGATCCACTTCAGAAGAGGTGGTTTTTCTTCAGGAAAGGGTACTTGTCATGTTGGGGGGCGGGGAAATAAAGCTCTTGTCCCCTATCACCTGCGCCTATCTGAATCCTCTCCACAACACGGTTACAATTAAAGAGACAAGAGAGCTGCTCTAGCACAGCCCTTTCGAGCTCTGTTTTGTTCCCATCGGCCCCATGGATGAGGTCCCCCCAACCATTCCTCTTGGCATTCCAGTCCGGCTGCTCCCACCACCCCAACCTGCTCCCCAGCCATCTCTGCTTCCAGAGGGGTGGCCTCTGGGTTGGGCGACATGGGGGGGGAGAGCCCCTTGCTACCCTCTGCTGGAGGCTTCGGGGCTGCTTCCTCTGCCTCTCATTTCAGACACGGAGTCTTGCTGCTCCATCCAGAGTACGAAGGCAGAAGGGAAAGGTTAGGGGCGGGTGAGAAGACAGCCCCCCCCCGTTAATTGAAGCCACATTGACTGCACAGTAATTTATATTCCATCAAGAGCTCGCCAAGGTTACAGCAGCCCTTTTTTCTGTTGCCAGAGAAATTCCAACACCTCCTGCTTCTGGAGCCAGGCCTGTGAAAGAGTCTCCCTTGCAGAGAAGGCTTCATGACTCCCTGGCCCCAAATGCCAGGAAGCGACCCTGAGCTTTAAAAAAAAACACCTTCATGTTCTCTTGGTCCCACGTCTTCTCAGAGCTCTGGACAACACTCCCACAACACTCAGACAGACAGACAGACACACACACACACACAGAGAGAGAGAGAGACAAACACACACATACACTGCATTTTATACTAATTAATGCATTAGGACTATAAGATATATATATATATATATAATCCTAATTTAATTACTTTCCACTCACAAGAAGCGATTGTTACTTTTTAAAATTGTTGTGAAAACACTACCTAATCTGTAGGTCCATGGAAATGGAAGGGCATCTATTTACTTTCAATGTAGCTGAAAACCCCAAGGAATCAATAGAAGCTCTAATGGTAGAATTAAAAGAATTTGGTGAAAGAAGAAGAAACAAAGATCTTAATGAAAAGATCCAGAAGGAAATTGATCACACAACCGATCAGGCATCGATCAGTATAGGCAACTGGAGTGCCAAAATGGGAAACAAACTTGAACTTTCCTGGACAAATGTTTCTGTCTCTCTCTGTCTCTCTGTTTTGTAAGATGCGTCTCATCTTGCATATACAAACAAAAGAAGAAAATAAAACTGGGCAGATTTTCCAGTGCTGAATCCTGAACCTCAAATGGCATTGATCACCAACCTCCCTTCCTAATCTTTTAGTCACAAGCACAGTTTATATTCTGCAAAAGTTCTAAACCCTAAGAAAATTATGTAAACAAACAAGAACCATATGGTTTCCTAATGAAACTTTCCCTCTAGGAAGTTTTCTGCTTACTAGGAATACACTACAGTTTAAGTTTAATATTGAGATGGCTATCATCTGAAGAAATGCTAATCTGGGAAGGGAAAACCCTTCCCTTGGAATTATGAACAAATGAGATAAAAGAGAATTTCAATACACCCACCCCAATATTCTGTATTTAGGACATGGTTGAATGAAGCTGTTGATTGCTTCTGTATGGATAGCAGACAACCATGACATTCATATAAATGAAGGCCTTGTTGAAATAATGAGGTCTAGATACTCTACTTTTAAAATCATAACAATATGTGTTTCCCACACATAGGCCAAAACTACACAGTCTGGAAAAACTAGATGGGAGTTCACAGTGACTCCTGTTGCTGACCTGTGATGCAAAAACCTACCCTGGTTTTAAAAAGGCACCAAATCAGCAATTTTAAAAATCACAGTAAAATTTTGCTTTTACTTTCCTCAGAAGTCTCTCCCAGATGGAAGGCTGCGAATGACCCACGAACTAAGAGAGAGAGAGAGAGATGCAGATACATACACTCAGGTTGCCAGAATGCTCCGGAGCTGCCCCATGCTCGCATTAGCAAGCATTAAAAAGTTTGCTATTGATGTTGCTACATATGTGTATCAAGTCAGAACCCATTTATAGCAACTCGTTCAAGGTAGGTCAGTGAGACATTTAAGGAGTAATTTTACCAGTTCCACACACCCCCAAAGAGTTTCCATGGCCGAACAGGGATTTAGACCCAGGTCTCCTGAGTTCTAATCCATCACTCTGTCCACTGCATCACACCGGGTATTTCTCTGTCTGCATCTACCCCCCCCCCCAGTAAATACCTTTGTGTGGGTTATGGCAAAAACGCAGTTCCGGGGATGGACTCACGGAGAGCAGGGCCCACAGCCTGCTCTTTGAAGTCTGCCTCAGAGATCTACCTGAAGTCTCCGCGGTTGTTGGTGACTCGCTCAGGCGGACAGTACGATGCCGACATCTCCAGTACAACGATATCCACCTTCTTGCTAACGTTGCCCTGAGCCGTCAAGATGGTGCACTCCCATTCACCGCTGGCCGAGACATGGATGTTGGATAGGATGAGCACGCTGGGGAGAGACAAGGCTTTTAGAAACCACGCATGCCTTTGCTGGGGTTAGTCTTTCCATGTGGGCCATGTGAACAAAGGATGGGGCATGCAGGCCAGCCCCCACCTCCCATTCTTTGTATGCAGAAGGTCCCAAGTTTCCATCTTTAACATCTCTGCTTCAAACAATCTCACTGGTACATAGGCTGAGAAAAGCCCATTCAAGTGGCAATGAGGCTCAAGGGTATAAGGCAGGCGTTCTCAACACAATGTTCATATGTTCGTAATATTCAATGTACCATATGTTCACAAGTGCCACTGTACCCAGACCCATCTTCTTTTGCACTTACACAGCACCCCATACATAACCTTTAAAATTTAAATATGGACGTAGGGAGGCAATGATGAGCCAAACCTGGGAAAATTACTTTTCTGGGCTACTTGGAATTCTGGGAGCTGTATTGAAGAAAATTAACAGTCCCCAAGCTGCAGGGTTACTTGTGGGATTTAAGGTGACCCATCTGCCATAGGGCAATGTAGGAAGGGGAAAAATTGTTGCTCACATTATGACATGGCTGTCTGTGTGATTCTGGGAGCTGTAGTACAAAAACACAAATTTGCACACCTCTGATATTAAGATAGATGATGTTTTCCAGTGAGAGGTCCTGCCCAACTATAATGGACAGTTATTTTTTTCGAAAATAAGTTGTTCTAGTCTGAGGTGAAGACAGAGAAACCCAAGAGAAGTTCATTACACTATTTAGTACACTATGACTGGGGACATTTCAAAAAGCAGCTGCAATCATCAGAACACCTTTGGGCTCAGCCATGAATCGCTGGTAAAAAGCCAAGCTCTCTTTCCCTCCAGCACCAACCAGTCTCCTTGGCCAGTACCTTGTGATTAAGGTGCAATCATGGACAAGGCTCTCCTCCAGGATGATGCCACTGTGTTCGTCCCCCTGCACCAGGGCACGGTTGTGATACCAAAGGATGTGGGTGCTATTGTCGAGGTAGGTGGCTGTACACTGGAAAGGGAGGCGGTCGCCTTGGAAAACCACTTGCCGCAGGGTTGGGATCAGTTGGTGGGTGTGCAACTCCGGAGTCCCTTCTGTAAGAAGAACAGAAAGAACCCCCTCAGGTTGTATGGGAAGGAAAATAATGGGACAAATCCTGTTGCTCAGCATAATAAATTGCACTAGCATAGGCCTGATGAATTAATGGAGATTTGATGAGTCAATTCCTTCATTAGAGTAGGCCTGATGAATTAATGGAGCTTTGATGATTCAATTCCTCCATAGGTCCCATGGATTCAAGTGGGCCTACCCTAGTTATAACTTATGGTCCCATGGACTCAAGTGGGCCTACCCTAGTTATAACTTATTTTAGCAGAGTAAGTTGCAGTTACAGTAGGCCCATTTGAATCAACAGAACATATGGAGGAGTTGACTCATCAAATCCCAATGGATTCAATGGGCCTACTGGGATTTTGGCCATTGCTTCATTTCAGGCTCACCCAGAGCATAGAAAAGTCACTTTTAGATTATAACATTCCAGAAGTTCCCTGTGAACATGGCCTCCATCCATGCTGGCTGTGGGATTCTGGGAGTTGCAGTTTTTCCAAGCTCTGATTCCATCACACAGCATTGCTGCTTACCACAACGCATCTGGCTCTCCCTGGTATTCCGCAGTGGCTTCCCATGCAGGCTGCTGGGGTAGATGCACAACGTCTTGTCCGATATCTGGATGGAATGGTTCCTGGACCAGGTCAGGATCCAGCGCAGGTTGCAGTCACATGTCAAATATTCTGTGCCAAAATCACTGCGGGGGGTGGGAGAGGAGAGCAGAGCCACATGCTTGGGTTAATGTGGATAAAGGATGGGTGAGGGAAGGTAGCATGCATCAGCTTCTCTCGCATGGCATATCCATTATTGATGTGACTGGTGCATAGAAACATGATATACAGACACCCGTCTGGAATGACTTTCCATTTGATAGGTCTGGGTCTACTATACGAGACGGCTAAGCTCCTGCTGAGGGCACCCCCCTGGTTCAGGAAGTGGCCACCATGCTGGACGCAGAAGATGGGTTCAGGAGCAGGTTGGCTGGATCTGACCTCCAGGATAGGAAGGAGTCACTACAGAGTTTGTTCTCACTTTGCATGAGGATGCCCTCCGTATATGGGCACAACCATACTCTGAAAAAAAAATCCATTTTAACCGCATACAGAGCAATCCCAGAACCAATCTTCTTCAGAACAAATTTTCAATTTTTCTATTAGAAAAACAAGAAACTTTGGAAAACATGGACAAACCTAGAAAAGCACACACACTATTTTTTTAATGAGTGAAATGCTTTTAAAAATAAAGTTTTACTCATTTAAAATGCCCGGAACAGTGTAATATGAAGACTTCTATCTACAATGTAGAGAACAATAATTCCTGTTTGTACTGTAACACTCAGATCCACATGCATTCCTTCATCTAGCAGGTACCAACATAAAGGGGCACCTTCATTACACCTTTGAATTCACCATCATGCTTGTGAGAAAGTAAGACTTCTAAATGTTTAAATTTCATAAATACACCAAACAGTAGAATTTCTTGCATTAAGCTATAAATATAGCATTTAATGGCCTGAATCCTGATGTTGGGTTACGCAAGCATCAGGTAAATTATGTAACTCACTATGGTGAATTGCTGTTAATTGGCAAAGCACTGCCTGCATTACTCAGCATTCACCTGTTCTACAACCAGGTGTGTGTCTTGCAACACAACTGGCATCATGTTTAGTTAGCACTAATTCTCTGCAGAAAGTTAGGCAACTCAACTTACACACACATTCATCGATCAGCAACAGGATTCTGGCCAATGTTGCCGAAACAGTAAAATATTTCTGAATTAAGATATGAATAATTTTTGCCTACGCTTCACTTCCTCCCAGAGTTCCCATTTTTTCTAGGGGGCGGCGCTCATCCCGCTCTTCAAGCCATAGAGCCAGCGTTTGTCCGAAGACAATCTTTCCGTGGTCACATGGCCAGTGTGACTTAGACACGGAACGCTGTTACCTTCCCACCGAGGTGGTCCCTATTTATCTACTTGCATTTGCATGCTTTCGAACCGCTAGGTTGGCGGAAGCTGGGACAGGCGACGGGAGCTCACTCTGTCGTGTGGATTCGATCTTATGACTGCTTGGTCTTCTGACCCTACAGCACAGGCTTCTGCGGTTTAGCCCACAGCGCCACCACGTCCCAATGGTGGGACGAAATGTTGCCGAAACAGTAATTAAGATATGAATAAGTTTTGCCTATGCTTCACTTCCTCCCAGAGTTCCCATTTTTCCTCAGAGGAGCAAGTGTTGAATGGGGAAGAAACATTTTCCCTCTAGGGCTTCAGTATTTCAGGAAATGTTACATCTGGGGAAGAGAGTTTGTATCTGGGGAGCAAATGGTTGGGATGAACAAATGAAAATACTCACAGAACTTTCAGAGACAGCAGTGTGTCAAAGACTCCAGGCTGCAGGTTGGAGAAAATATTTCCTGACATGTTTCTGTTAACAATAATGGGGGGAAATAAAAATGGATCCTGAAAAAATCTCTCTAACAGTCATTTATTGTTAATCTTTTGTTTCAAAAAGTTAGGATATCAAATCCTTTAAAATATCTCTGGTTTATGAAAATGAATACTGCTCACGTCCATGATTCAAAATGCCAGCAAATGGTCTGATGCATGCATATTGCTAGCAAAAAGAAAGATGCCAACTTCTATATAGCAAAGGCCAACTTGAATGTTGATGTTACCAATGTCTGCAGTTAAGATGGCTTACAGGATCCCCTCTTGTGATCACTATAAACAGATACCAATCAAGTGAAAATCCCAGAACCTGACCTATTTTTTCACCAGTTAACCACATCACCCAAATCTGATGCATGCATATTGCTAGCAAAAAGAAAGATGCCAACTTCTATATAGCAAAGGCCAACTTGAATGTTGATGTTACCAATGTCTGCAGTTAAGATGGCTTACAGGATCCCCTCTTGTGATCACTATAAACAGATACCAATCAAGTGAAAATCCCAGAACCTGACCTATTTTTTCACCAGTTAACCACATCACCCAAACACAAAGCAACAAGATGGCTTACAGGATCCCCTCTTGTGACCACTATAAACAGATATCAATCAAGTGAAAATCCCAGAACCTGACCAATTTTTCACCAGTTAACCACATCACCCAAACACAAAGCAATTGTCAGGGCTGTTCTTCAACAAATTTTCTAGGAATTTATTGCTTAAAGCAGTCTGAATGCCTAGAAGAAATATGGTTTTCAGTGAAGTGAATGCACCTGTCTTTCTAACGGAAAAGTATTCAGTTGCTCTCTCCTTAAAGAATAACATGAATTTCAGGTGCTTCCATACATCCAATCCAGTGCATGGCACTCCCTAGGCATCAGTGTTTGGAAGAAAGTTCCAGTTAGCTTCATTTCCTATAGTTGTGCCATCAAGTTGCTTCTGTCTTATGGCAACCCTAATTTTTGAGCTACAGTTGCCATACAGCAGAAGTGACAGAGGTGCGGCGTTACCAGACTACGCCAGGGGGCGTAATGGAGAAATGAACTGCTCAGAGATGAAACCAAACAGACACTGTTGTAGTGTTGATAGTATTATTTACATTAAAGTCCATATATACAGGGATAAATACAGCTTCTCTTGGTCCTTACACAGTCCTGGTCATTCACAGTAGTTCCTCAGTTTGCAATAGTAAATTTACAGTTTCAGTAACCAAAGATTGTTACCAATGTAAATAGACCAGCATCCACGAAGTCTTCTCCTCTCACCACGGAGATAGTCTTCCTCCAGGATCTTCTCCTTGCAATATAGCAAGTCTTCATCCAGCGATGCAGTATATACAGCTCTCAACAACACGATCACCAGCAACACAACAATCCAACCACCCAAACTACCCAACAACCCAACTACCCAACAATTTGTCTCTGCAAGCTTGGCTAGTTTTATTCTTGGTTGAACCAATCAAATTGATTGTCACACAGCTGCCTCAATTAACTCAGCTGTGTTACTCTTGTTACATGTTGCTTCACTAAATCCTGATCCTGTAACAACTTATACACTGAATTGCGATGAACAATTCCTCAGGTTGACTTTGAGACCTGTCACTGCTGATGTCTTTCTCATTGTACATGCAGTTATGCAGATGATTTCAGCCAATAATTATAGCATTATTTTTCTACCAATTTCAGCCTTGGCAGTAAAAACAGCAGTTGAATTATGAGAGCTGGCATAGTGTAACAGTCTGCTTTACAGTAGGTCCCCTGTATCTGTGTGGGATTGGTTCCAAGCTCCTCATGGATGCTAAAACCACAGGTAAAAGTGAACGCTATACACAGCATGATTAAAAACCAGTAAAAATATTTTTACAATGTATTTACCAGAACTGGCCACTATAGGGAATCAGGGACTATACTATGTATTCTTCAACATACTGTACAGTATAGAGGTATCTGCCTCCCTCTAGTAGCCACTTCTGGTAAATACATCATGACAATACATACAGTATTTCTCTTTTTTTCTTTTTAATTTTTTTTTCAGACCACAGATAAGTGAAACTGCAGATACCAATCCCATGGGTATGGGGGCCCTACTGTATTACAATTTACCTAATTAAAACCATTCAAAGATAGCACCAAATCACAGCTTGGTACTACATGCACGGGGCTGGCTGGACAATGAGGGTCATGAAGTCCTGCTCCCTCTACCAATTTCTGCTACACAGCAATTTCATGCAAACAATGACTTGTCTTCCAAGCTAAACCAGCATACACAGTATCAAAACCACACCTCCAATGCCATAGTCTGGTCCAATCCATAAATTATGTGTTTAAAAAAAACTGCTGCATGCTCTGTAAGAAAAAAAACTACATGGGGTTCTTAAATATTCAAACTAATTGTAAATCAAGCTAGTATTAACACAACCAAGGTGGCAAGAACCCTGTTTCTATCCCCTCACAACAGAAAGCAATTGGTCAGGTGTTCACCTTTTCCAAAGCATCAATACAGTCAGACCTCCCCCACCATCTTGCTTCCTCTTCTCAATATTTGTCAAGGATACCACAAAATATTTCAGCTACCTTTGTTTGGCCAATTGCAGACACTTCGCACATCTTCACCTAACATCCTCTCTTTTGTATGTCCTTTATTAAAACCTCCCAACAAACTATGTTCTTCAGAAGACATATTAGCACAACCCCTAAGCAAGAAACAGCATCTCATTACAGGATGTACAATGACACTTCTCTCACAGAGCCATCCCTGCTAAATCCTCACAAAAAATCACTGGGGGGGGGGAATGGAATGAATGAGTAAGCAAATAAGGGTAGTATAACTTACCAGACACTAGGCAGTAGGAAAATCAGCAATACTCAAAGACTGTTGCTTCAACACTCCTCAAGGAAAAGAGGTATTTCTGGGGCCTTTTCTTTTTCCAAGCCCTGCTGCCCCCAGTAATTAAGTCCTCTCAATGACTTCTGCCTCTTCAAGAGTGGTTAGATCACAGAGCCTCCAAAAAAAGAAAGGTGTCATGTGAACTGTATTTTTCTGGTTACCCCAAAGTTTAACTGCAGCTCTGAAGTCTAAAATATTTTTGAGTGAAAGAAGGATTAGTATTTCTTCTTCCTTTAAAAAAGGAAGATCAGGGGGAAAATGAAGAATTTTAAATTCTGAGGACTGAGTACAGAAAATCCCCCATGTGTTTCTGCTCCCTCAGAAGTGGGCCTCAAAAAAGGCTGCACTTGGCATCACCAATACCTAGAAAAGAAAAAGAGAAGCTCCAGTTTAATTTGCTACGCTCACAACCCGTCTGGTAAAATCAGACAGTGAAGGATTGTAGAAAACAATGGAACGTTTATTTTTTTCAAATTACTGAAAGCAATATACAGTACTTGAATGGGAGAAGAAAGTAGACTAAGTACAAATCTTACACAGCTTAAAGTAACGGGGTGGAGGTGGGAAATCGGTCTGTTTTAATTAAA